GGAAAACTTTTGTCCCCTTCCTCAACCGAGTCGATTAGGAAGTTACGTGGACGACGTCTTAACTATTTCGAGTACATCAGCAAATGACTTAGCAGATATTATATATAGATAAAAGTACACACGTTCGAAACTAGTAGGAAGTTGGGTAGTTCTAGTTATGTTCGCTTAAATTATATTCTTGTTAATTCCTTTTTTAGAAATACACCTTTAACGCGCTAAGGTTATCTTGCGTATTCATTAATGGGTGCCTTGATAACTATTTTTTGCTTTCGGTAATCGGTAACAAATTTTATATTAAATATATAGCTACAGCTCTTGACGTAACATTTATTTTAATAAGTAGGATGGAAACTAATGAACATTTAAGTTACATTAGTATATTGGTGTATAATCACAAATCATCATAAAAATGTATATTGATAACATATATTCATTTGCTCGTAAACTTTATTGATGTGTGCTAGTCATTTTAAACGGATGGAAAATAATGAAGTCTTTCGAGTGCTTATTTAAATAAGAACCGCCCCCATAGACGCTTACGATAATATCAGAGATATTGCAGATGCGTTGGCAAGTACTTTATCACTGGTACCTGGTGGTAGCAACGACTATAACCTTACTCATCTGATGAAAGGCAATAATAAGTATAGTCTGAGAGAGTAATCAGCAACAATAAAATCTTGTAATTAGGAAAAATTATCAAAATATTATCAATAGAAAGGTATTTAAAGTTTAAATAAAAATGATTTCACTTTTGAGGTAGAGTAACTTAAAAGTTGTGATAGTCAGAAGAGACTGCTTTTGATTCTTGTAGATGTTTCCATTTTCAGTTATTTCCGGGTACTTGCTGTTTAGTTTGGCGTAAATCTTCTAGGCAATTCTTTGTACTCATCTTTCAGGCTGTATGTCCTAAGCTGCTAAAACGACTAATCCCATTATCATCTAATTACTATTTTCCGAAAAGTGTCTTGAGTCATTTTTATTGCATTAGCAATAGAAACCGAGGTATTTGCAGAAAAGTTTAAATTTATAGCTTAGCCACATGGGATGTTAAAAATTTAATAAATCTTAGTAATTTTTCAAATTTTACTCTTAATCACCTAAAGTCTAACGAATCATTTCAGAGATGTAATTTTTTAATTAACTTATTTTATTAATAAATTATAATAATAAAAAGAAGATTTGGACACGGGATAAGTATTTTATAGTTGTTTGGGGACGCACAAATAAATTGTTCTCAATTTGGGTGTTTTTTTATATATATAAACTTTTGTTCACTGATAACTTAATTATTTTATAATTATATATTGGTAGCACCTTAATACTAACCGTTCCGAATCTGAGATTCTTCTCCATTCCTTTTTTTGAACGTATATTTATAAACGATGTAATATATAACTTATACACCCAGAATAGAACCAGACATAACATATTCGATTAAGTGATATAAATCTTTCTAGGCCCGACACATGTATCATTTAAATATTAAAGTACAGTTAATCAATCATCGCTGGAAATTTAACAATGGAACGTGACACTGATTAAGGAGGCCGGGTTTGTGTACTTTGAAGGACTCGCCGTATAAACTTTGATGCACGATTTGACACTCATTGTATTGGAATAACTTGTTATTGTAGTAAAGGACAATTATTCTAAACGTCTCTTAGTGTTGCATTGCAATAATAAAATCATAAAAAATCTTCTAATGGTGCAATAAGGCGTTTTATATTTGTATAATTCACATTCACTTCGATTTTAAGATTTGGTTTATAGTTGATTGCAAAGATAGTATGTAATGTAATTGGCCGATATTCTTGTCACTATTTCACAAGATATGTGGGTGTTACACTTGACCGCTGGTTGACAGGGCCATGCAGTGTAACGAGATGCTATTAAAATCCACAATGTATTTTTTTTTCAAAAAGTATAAGTAGTACAGTTATGAAAAAAAATTAAGGTAAGTTTATATCTATCTATACCTAGTTTAATTATACTTTCTCCCTTCTTATATTCACCCTTAATATATAGGTAGATCACAATTTATCTGAAATTGAAATGTTATAATCTTACTAGACGCATTAAACATTGTATCGACTATTCAAAGTAGGTAAACAATACTCCAGTTGAGTTCAAAATTTATTATGATTTTTTTCTATTATTACAGTAAATTTTATTTTTTAGCCATTATATTACAGAATGTATCACCATAAATATATAATTGAAACATTAGATAAAGAAAAAACCGGCCAAGTGCGAGTCGGATTTGCGCACGAAGGGGTCCGTCTCATTATCCATAAAGAGGGAAAAAAGTCTGTTGTATGAGAGTCCCATTTAATAATTTCTTATTCAGATTTTTAGTATTTGTTGTTATAGCGGCAACAGAAATACATTATCTGTGAAAATTTCAACTGTCTATCTATCAGTTCATGAGATACAGCCTGGTGACAGACCCAGACAGACAGACAGTAATAGGGCCCCGTTTTACCCTTTGAGTACGGAACTCTAAAAAATGGGTGAACACGCACGTAAGGAATTAGAGTTCTTTGGCGTAACAAAATAAAAATACACAATATGTATGATATTAACACAATGATGGTAGAGTTGGCCAAATGAAATAACACCATAGTAAAAAATTTACGCTCATAATTTTTCTTTATCAATAAAACTTCAAAACTATTCAAAGGAAAAATACATGTAATAAACGAAATTGAAATGGATTCGGTAGTAAAATGTGTATTGTGAGCGCATGCGTTACGGAACCTCAAATGTAACAGTAGTTGATAGTTTTTTAATGAGAAAGTGAACGGTCGCGTCCATAACGCCGACCACCCGTGATTGATCGAGGTCGAATTCCGTCGTTCAAAATTTCAGTTTTTGAATATTACACTTCAACTGTCAAGTTTAGTAATGTATAGCGATTCTGAGGTCATTTGGGTGTGCTAAGTTACTTTTTATAATTTTTGCAAGACTTTTAGTGCGTTGAGTAACTACTACAACTACTATAATACATTACGTTTTCAGTAACTTCTTCCGTAATACGAGATTATTTTTTATTGATTAAACGTAATTTATAAAATTAGAAAAAAAAAATAGACACCTACAATTTCCATTTGCTAGAAGAAATCATTTCTCCATATAAATGATCAAAACAATATAGTCCCTTACACGACTGCAAAATATTATTTTTTGGTATTTTTTCAAAAATATGAAGATTTCCGTACGACGTTTTCATCCAAATGCTGACACATTGTAAGTCAGTATTTAAAATTAACAATTTCATTGCTGTCCGCACCAGGCTTTGATCTCAGGTTGCTCGAGTATATTGAATTAAAAGCAAGCTCGCAGACACTGAGCTATCATGGCGAATAGTGTTCTGAATTCTAAAAAAAAGAATACAAAAAAAAGATCATCTAGTTTACGGTTTAGTTACTTAATGAGCTTTTCTTTAATCTTATAGTTAATTTTCTTTTCTTTGCTTATATCTCCTATGTCATTTCTGTCCTCAAAAGATGTGTGCGTATTGTTTTTGCAGCGTTTAAATGATGTTACAAATTTCAAACGGTTCGTGATACAATTCCAGATGGATCGTGATTAAAAATCCTTCACCTTACAGAAGTTCCTGGTTATTTCACGTTTTCAATTTATCAAGACGTCAATATTATGTGGATTAAATAATTCCATTATGATACAATACAGTATATAAAGATATGTTTATAAATATATTTATTTTATGTATTTATTTTTCTTAAGGGCATAACGGTCGTATTTTAGCGCAAAAATAAAAAGATGGCAGAAAGAAATAAGCCATGCTTTTCAGCCTCATGCGACGTAAAAACTAAGTTATGTTATGCACCAGGTGATTATTTAAGAAAATATTTCCTATACTATATTTGTAATTTGTGTATATTTACTTCATTTGTTTCTGGATCAAAACTGTTTATTATTTCTGAATATTTTATTAGTAAATGAAGTTTAATTGAAAATAATATTTTTTAAGCGATTCAATTTTTTACCTTAAAATAGGATTAGGTATATACATAGGATTGCTAAACTCAATGACCATTTTTAAGTTGTGTTTCTAATATTAATAGCTTTATTTGAATTTCGAAGTAACATAAATGGTAAGCCATACTTGCTCGTATTTACGTTAAGTTTACTAAAAGTTAAGTTGAAAAAATATGTTGTGATGTTTAATGTAACCTGCGTTGATGTCTTTTCTAAGAGTTTTCTGTGTAAATGTAAATTACATACGTTTCTAACTCTGCTTATAACTTCAGGATTCTTTTTAATACAAAATTATTCTTTTTAAATAATTTGAACTATACATGGTAGGTGATCATAACCTCCAATGGACAATGGACCAGAGGAGATTTTGATATAAGTTTGCTATTGATATTTTCATAAATGGCCACTTTTTTAAGAAGAAAAATGTGTGAAGTTACCTGAAAGGCAGTTGAGTGTCGTTACATGATCAAATCTCAATATTGATTAATAAAATAAAATTTTATTAATTATTCTTATTTTTTAAATATCCTCCCGAGCTCATTTCTGAGATACATATGTATATTAACCCCTAGTTTAGGATTCAGGGACGCCGTGATTCATGGTTGTAAATTTATCAGTAAATACTGATATTATTAATTAGGTATTTTGTTTCTGTACGCAATTTTATTTGGAAGTTTTAATAGCCGAACTGTTATAAATTTTGTTTAGTTTTCTTGTAAAGGTCAGGCTCCTCTCAGCTGTATTTGCTGTCGATCTATGAGGCTTAATTTAATACAATTAAACGAGTTAATAGCAACATCCATGTACCTCTTTCTAAATCTGTACAACCATTGCCTGCACACATTAATCTGAAATGGTAAACCCTAGTTACTAACGCGCTAACTCGCGCACGCGTCGCCAGCGCAAACGTTCAACGCTTGCTCATTTTTTAATCTATTTTTTTAATTTACGTTTCATTTATTATATCTACAATAAAAATGTTTAAATGTGCCATAATGCTGTTATTAGGTAAGTATTGTTTTTAGTTAATGAAGAATAATATAAAAATGACCGTATAAAAGTGAAATAAAAACAACTGTATTTTCTAAAAAATGTGTACAAGAAATAAAATAAATTTGATTTTAATATTTCTTTTTAATTCAGCGAGTTATATTAGTTTTCCTTTTGGAATTTATTGTTTGTCATGACATTGTATATATTTTACATGATATTTTATTAAAGTTAAAACTGTGTGAAATGTCATTAAAAATTATTCTTGAAATTAAAAAAACCATGTAAAATGTTCAGTGAATTAATTTATGACTTAAGTTTAAACGAAAATGATTAAAGGATTTGACGTATTTAATTGAAGGCACAGTTTATATTTGATTTATGAATTAATATATTATCAATGTCAATATGAAAAATATATTCGTGATTAAATGGCATTATTTTATTATATTATAATTAAAAAAATTTTTTTCAGCGCTCATCGCTACATCTAGGGAACAGCAGCCAGACTATTACCATGACTTGCACCTGCCGCATGATCCACCACTATACCCAGTATTCCATCACGCCCCACATACTCAATTTACCTGCGCAGGACGTACTATAGGATACTACGCCGATGTGCAGTCTGGTTGCCAGGTAAAAATGGTTTAACAACTTGGCCCATGGTTTTTTTAATCATCGGTTTTAAAAAGGACGCTTCATATATAATTATTAATGTCTAGCTATTCAAAGGGGAAACGCTGCCAGTATCTTCGGAACCTTGCCTAAAGGGACTCCTTTTAATAACATATTTTAGTTATTATATTATTTTTTTTAAGGTTTTTAGTTTTAAGCTACAACTATATTATGTCAACATATTAGTAGTATCTTCTATTAAATATATTTTTTTTATATTTAATGTATTAAACGAGATTACAAGTGTGTAAAATCCAATTATGTATTCTAATAACATATACGTTTTTCGTATTTTTTGATCTCTGAGAACATTGTGTTATTTTTAACCGACTTCAAAAAAGGAGGAAGTTTCTCAATTCGACCGTATATATTTTTATTTTTTTTATGTGTGTTCGGGGATAACTTCGTCATTTATGAACCGATTTTAATCATTCTTTTTTGTTTGAAAGAAGATATCCTCAGGGTGGTACCATGATACCCAGATCTGATGATGGCACCCAGAGAAATCGAGGGCATTCCACAAATGTTATAGGCATTCCCAATGTTTTTTTAATTTTCTGTTTGAAGTCGTTTTGTTTTTGTTCAAAATTATGGAGTATTTTAAATGATTTTTGATATTAAAGCTTGGTTGAAAAGTGATAAACCGTAATAGCTCAATGTGAGTATTCTCTTTTAATTCAATTTACTCGAGTGACCTGATTTCGAATCCCGGTAGCGGCACAGATGAAATTATTAATTGCAATATTAGTTTCATGTAATTATCGCATTCTCAACGGGCGTAGGAAAACTTCTCGAGGAAACCTGCAAATTTTTTGACGCAAATGAAAAAAACATTACAAGATATGTGAAGTGTGCCCCGGTAGAGTAGAGTAGTGTAAAGTCACGTCGTGAACCTCATCCTTATACTGTTGCTGAGGCAATATATAGGTATATTTTACTTTTTAAAATGTGAAGATCATTACACACTTTAGTGTATTCTGTTAATTATGAATCAGCAACTCTTTGGTGCATATTTAGTAACAAAAAACATAAACGATATGAAGGACTAAAACAAAATGCTTAAGAAAAAAATGGTTGCGCAAACGGCTGGGATTGGAACCTGGGATTTCTGTATGCTCTATATTAGCAAATACTGTTCTATTTGTAGTAAGCAAATCAGTCCTCATTAGCTATCCAGTATTTATCAATATTATTGTTGTACTATGAATTTTTATTGAATTAATGTACGGTTTCCAGGCATTTCATTTCTGCTGGCATCAGAGGGTGATTAGTACGGAGCTTTGTACAAACGGAACTCTCTTTAACGAACAGTTTCAGGTTGGTCGTCCCTTTTTTTGGATTTTTATTTTCAATTTTACTAAACTTTATTGATGTGAAAACTTATTTAGGCGCGTTGAGCACTTTTTGGGTGAACAAAAATTAAGGAACTCGCGACATCGTCACCGAATGCTTTCCAACAGTTATATGTATACTGTGTATATATGTGTACTTTTTGAGTGAAAAAAAAGCGCGAAACTCGCGTCATCTTCACTGAACGCTTTCCATGAGCGATTTTTAAAAAAGGAACACGCAAAAATATTTTTTTAGTGGATATAATATTCAGATTCTTAATCAGATTGTTAATATATGTCAACTGTTATTATCGTTCGGAGTGCCTATAATACATATAGAATTAAATTTTATACAATTGTAATTTTGATATTGTTTTATATTTTCACATCTGTTGGGAATCCCCATGAGACTGCTTTTTTATTTTTGTTTAAACCTCGGCATAAAAACTTACAAGTGTGATAGGACATTATATATTTTAATCATAATATCTGGGAAGATTTTAAATAATATAAATTTATTTGCGCATAGCGTTAAAGTAATATTTATAAGAGTTCTAATGATTTTACTTCGATCCTAATATTTTAACTATACTACTGAACTATATAACTACTGAACTTGAATATTAACAACTATTATAACGACAAGTAGTAATAGTGGTTATATAACCGTCCGGAACGGGGCCCGAAATACAAGTGACCGCTGCTGCTACTGCATGCGACCATGTGGCTCGAGTAGTTAACGGCATATCCAGTATACAGTGTTGCCAGCGCCAACATATTATCATTTTCTTTGGGATTTGAAAGTAGAATTCGTAAAGATTGATGTTAACTTGTTTTTTTTAATAATTTATTATTATTTGAGACATAGATTATTAATATATGCCAACTGTTTATCATATAATGACAAATACAACTGCATTCTTATTAGATGAAGCGAATTCTCTAATAGTTGAAATGTTTACTAAAGTTTATTTGTAACTTGTAGATGAAATGTAATACGCACCACAATATATATTATTGTATAATGTTACAACTTTTCATACCCTTGTACCAAATATATCAAACTATATCTTTTTACAGGTATGTGACCACTTCTATAATGTTCGTTGTGGATCTCCATATGAAGACTTATGAATAATGTTACTTTTAAATGAGAAGCAAATACAAATGATCTTAGAAAAGAAACAGTTTTTTGGTTGTTGTAATTAATCAAATGCTTAAGGTAATTTATTTTTGTCTAAATTTTAGGGTAAAATAAAAATTTTATTTATTTAGTAATTTATTTTCGTAACTTAATAAAAACATTATCACATTAAAGAGTATTTCATTTTTAATGTCTTATTTGACAAATTCTCCTTTTACAGTATAACTTCTCCACATTTACCCACAGTCTATTAAATTTACGAAGATTTTTTATATTTTATCACTCACATTTTAGGCCACATAACATATCTTAGAACCCTCAGATATAATACATGGGAATTTTTCGAAGGAGATTAAACAGAATGTGATAAATAACTAATATAAAGCTAATATATAGATAGCTAATTCTTGAAAAAAATCGAATATTTTATCATGCAACAATACGGCTTATCCTGAAAGACATAGTAATAACATTTTAAGAGATAAATGCTACAACACAAACAAAGAAAACGTTTTATTAAGTAACGTATGAAACTTATAAAAATATAAAATTGAACAGCAATGTTGTCGAGTTTAATTAAAATTTTAAAATTCATAATATGATGCAATCAAATTTTAAAATTCATAATATGATGATAAAAATTTATAACAACTTTTAATGCATTCTCTAAAAGAGTAGTGATAAAACAAAATAAAAAGTGTAATTTAAATTAATGCTGAATATTTACAAGTAATTGTCTAGGTACTTGTTGTGTTTTACAAGCGTTTTATGAGACTAATATAAAACATTTACTGATAGTTTAAAACTTTACTGATAGTTTATAATCTAAATAAACCAATCATGACGGAACATATCACAGTCACTGTACTGATAGCAAGCCCGGAGGCTGAATCGGGTTCATCAGGAATCTCATTTTGCTGCGTGGTACGTTCCATTTCGTCCAGGATTCTTTTTTCTTCCAGAGCGAGCTTTGTAGCCTCGTTGATGGTGTGCATTAGCGGATAATTCGAGTACTGAGGCTCAGGGAGTCTCAGGTGCAGTTTGTTATTGGATACCACATAAGCTGTACGCCGATTCAAGTTTTCAAAACGGCCAGCTGTAAGTAAATAATAAATACAATAAAGTCAAGCTAATCTAATGTCAAGCTTTTCATGTTCTATTTTTATTCTTATAGGTTTCTAATTCCAAATTATAAGGATATTAATCTGTGACCAATTTTAATTTATCAGGTGATTGGTGATTATGAACAATATTGAAAGAGCGTACGTATCTCGCAAAGTTGACAGTATTCCATGTCGTAAATTCACCTGAACCCGAAGATGGCTTAGCTCCGTAAGTACCGTTCAGTAGAAAAAAAATTTTTATGTGTCAAGTTTTAATTTTTGTTTTAATCTGAAAATTTTGTAAGCGAGCAGGCGGTTCTCCGATGTCAAACGAGTGCCGTCCGAATAACGCCCATGGATGTCTACAACGTCCGATGGTCTGCTGATGCGTTGACAACCTTTAAATAAGTGGGCCCCGGTTATCTCACTCGCGAGACGAAACGCGTAAGTTTAATACTTCCACTTCTCGCCGGTCTTCTGAGGCCGTGGTACTTCCCCGGATCCAGCTCATTCTTGCAACAGCAGAAGCTGTAATACTTTGATATATCCAAGTTACGGTACGTAAAAAATATGCACACACATTTTTCCATCTGTTCTTTGTATTTATTTCGAGCGGTTGTTTTTTTATATTAAAATGTGATAAATTATAACAAATAAAAGACTACCGGTACAAAATAAAAATTAATAAATTTGACTAGCGACTTACCCTCAGGTAGATTGAGGGATTTCAATGCCTTTTTTAGTAGAGGATCGTCGACGATCTTGTTGTATTGTTGTATGAAATCATAATATGAGTCGGCCTCTTTGTCACAGTTGCCTCTGAAGTCGTCCGTGTCAATACTCCATACCATGAGCCCGCCCAAATTGTATTCAATGGCCATTCTGTAAATAATTTGCTATTGAATCGAGTATCATCATCAGGTCTTGGTACTTGCCTGGACGGATCTGGCAATTTGTTCAACAGCTATGACTGTTGCATGGCCTACTACATTTATTGAAGAGTAGTTTTAAATGAAGTTTCTTAACTCGGTTTGACGGCAAAAAGACTTCATAGAAATCATCATGGAACGCTATGGTGTATGAGTATCGAGCAGGCGAGTGCGTTGATTACTGTACTATCGACCTTATGATAAGAACTTGAAAGTTAATTTACCCTCAGTCGATGATACTGAGTGAAAAGATTACAGTCTGTTTTAAAACCGTTTGAACTTACCCGTATGTTTGCTGCCTGTTATTCTGAGTTCTTACATTATTTAGTTTAGGAAAGTCGTTCTCACTAGTTCTTTTTAAAAAGTTGTGCGATAGTTGAAATATGAAAATTTCAAGACATCAACGAAACCAAAACAAATATAATATAAATGAATACATTAATGATAATAACCCCTGAGAATGAGTTGATCGCACCTAAGCTGTTTCTAAATAATATATGAATGTAAAAGAGAATGCCTACCGAGTTTCTTTCGCCTGTTTCTTCTCCGTTGCTGTTCCGTTAGAGGAAACTCATTACGAAACGGCGGTATATTTACAAATGACTATCGATAGGTGAAATGTTCTTTCTTATTTCGAATGGATTAATGATTTGATTTGATTTGACAACCGACCAAACGTCTGGTTAGCATTTCAGGCACTTACTTGACTTTGATAGCAATCGACCTGGTGTTGTCGTAAGCGATGATCCGCTTGCCATCACGCAAGTATGGCGTAGCCGACTGGTCGTGCCAGTGGTGGGTCCACTTCGACGATTTATTGGTTACTTCCATACATATCTACGGGATTGTTATAGTGCTAAATAACCACAATTATAAATTATAGAATAAGCTAGATATGCTATATCAAGTGTACGGAAGGGACAAGATATTGTTTGTTAATGTGGAAGTAAAATATTTTTAAGTAGGAAAGCAGACCCTGGCAATTGCTGGGATAAATGCTAGGTAGAAGAACAATGTGGAAGTAAAATACATTTTTGTAGTTAATGTGCCCTTAACTATTATCAAAGTGAATCGAGATTCAGTGTCAAGTAAGATGTTATTTATGGTTAAGTTTGTGATGGTATATAGCCACAAATGTGTAATTTAAACAAACAATTTAATAAATAAACTTCTTAAATGATTCACACGGAAATTTGTACGAGTATTTACGAAAAATATAGAAAATATAGTACTCTTTATAGTAGAACATAGAATATATTTTATAGTCAAGGTTTTTGGGAACTACTAGGGCGTATTATTTTTTTTTAAATGTTTAAAGAAATATCTCTATAAGAAAAAGTTAAAACAATTCGTAAAATTCACAATATATCAAATAAATAATAAATTATGTACCTCATTGTATCCCATAAATCCCGCTTCTCTAGTATACGGTCCTTTAAAACCTGTTTGCTCAGCAGGGGTACGACCGAATTCAATGTCTTGAGTGTCTTCTTTGAGGATGAAATTACGACCGTACAAAGGTAAGCCAAGAACCATTTTATAAGGGCTTACACCATTCGATAGTAAATACTTGATAGTGTATTCCTGTAAAAGAGTGTCATGTGTTATACAAGTTATAAGAGATACCATATCACAGTAAGTGTATTAAAATTAAAAGTTAAAAAACTTATTTCTGGCTCTTGAAGCTAGTTAAAAGATTCTAATTTCTTTTTCCTTTTATAAAATAAAACAGAAAAAGAAATTAAAAATTAAACAAAAAGGCGTTTGAGATATGAAATGACTATAAATTTTTTATTAAAAACTAGCTGCTGCCCGCTAATACGTCTGCGTAGAATAGGCTGAAAGCGTAACATTCAGACAGAAAGCCGGATATACATTAAAATATGTATACAGCGTGTCGTTACAACCACGATAATAAATGACTCTCGTCTAACGATACTTGCTAATAATTATAAAAAATATAAAACATTAAAAAGTCCATAATTAAAAAAAATATTTTTCAAACAAACTAATTAAATTAAAAAAGAAACAAAATTTGTAACATCCTATACAACTACAACTGACTGATTCATACATTCAGAGACATTTTCATTCGTTGCCGTAGCGTCGCATTACAAATCTCTCCTAACAGTAAGTTTTATCTCTTTTAAATTTATTCAACCCATTCATATGCTTTGTGACCTTTACAAATGAACTTTACGTTACAGTTTTATACGTAAGGGTGTTCTAAAATAGTTTGTTTTGAAAAATTTTATAACTCGGTAAAAATTGATGTTTAAAGAATGTAAATGTTTAATACAATTTTAATAAGTTGTCATCCATATGTGTATTGATTTATGGTCGCGTTAGTAGCGAAACGCTGTATAAATTATAGCCTATGCATTATTCTGATGTATAAGCTATATTATTGTAAAGTTTCATTAAAACCCATTCAGTAGTATTTGCGTGAAAGAATAACAAACATCCATCCATACATACAAACTTTCGAATATATAATATTAGTAAAGTAATGATTGGAAGCGAGCATCTAAAATCTTACCACACTGAGCACGTCGTCGTCGCTGGTGCCTTTGAGCGGTGCGTTTGCGCCAACGACACCGTCCCAAGTTCCGTGATAATCGTAACACATCATGTGTATAAAATCGAGGTATCCACTAAGTTTGTGCAGGTCATAAGCCGCTTCCATGGTTTCTTTCCCGGCTCCAATTGCCGCTGTTAACAGGTAGCCATTAGATTCGAAAGCTTCCTTCAGTTCCTATTGAAAACAGCGTTTTATTAAAAAGATTTCCCAATCTAAAGATAAATTCAAAGTAATGTTGTCAGTCTTCTAGGATAATTCTGATAATGGCAACACCACACTACTGTATCAATGGAAAGAAAATCTTCAATTGATAAGAAGTTTGATTGCACTTACCTTTACGAGTAATACAAAGTTTGCTCTGTCAATAGGTCTGCCATCTCTCTTTGCGGGATATTCCCAATCCAAATCAAGGCCATCGAATTTGTATAAACTGAAAGGCAAAATTAACTTTTGTAATTTGTGACTTGTATTAAATAAGTTTTATTATTTTTGTCCAAAAAGTACTAATAAAGTGCCACTTGAAGTAGAAGGTTAAAATTTAAATGTGTAACGTTACGCCTCTTTCACAAAAAATAAAACATGTTATCTTTTTTTCAGTTTATTTGAGTACCAAAACACACAGACGCTTGAGATCTCTATAGCCATTTTTAAGGTACCGTACCCAAATGGTTAAACAGGACCCTATTACTAAGACACCGCTCTTTGTCTGTCCGTCCGTATGTCGCCAGTCTGTATCTCATAAACCGTGATAGTTGGAGTTGAAATTGTCACAATAACAACAATTGCCGTAATAAAAACAAATACTTAAAAACAGTATAAAAAATATTTAAATGTGGCTCCCATACAATAAATATGAATTTTTGATCGTTTTTATAGACGTTAGAATGGTACGGAACCCTTCGTCTGCGTTTTTACTTTTTAAAAAAAATCAATTAGCAACGAAATAAAACTTACTTGAGAAATACAAGTACGCTCTGGATAAATTTCGCTCTGGTCTCAGGAGTCGCCGCCATTGTGGAAAACTTACTCGAACCTTCGTTCCACCCACCAATTGCAATGGTAATCTTCAGATGGGGATACCGCATCTTTAGTGCAACAAGCCCCCTGTAGCCTTCACTCCCGTTATTCTTTTCTAAGTCGTGCCAGGGGTCTGTAAAGTACCGTATTAATTTGAAATCAGGGCCGAAATATTTTCTTCAATCTCTAACAACTTTATCATATAAGTTAAATCAATAAAAATTTTATTCGTTTAAAATAATAGTAAAAGAAAACGTTTTTACTGTTGTCCCCTTTGTCTCTTACTATGTTATATATTTAGTGTTTTGTTTTAAGTAACCTTAAAGTTTTGCAAACACAACTGCAATCCAATCATCGGGTGTTTTAAATATCCACGGAGAGCGGGATTACATGTGACGAAGTTAACCTATGTTTATACAAAATAGTGCTTACCTAGACTCTTTATTCCCATCGTGTTCTCATCGAGTCCAGCAAAAGCGTATACTATGTGAGTGCACAGTGATGGTTCGAGGTTTTCAAGGTTAAACTGCCCATCGCCTGGTCGGTACGTGGCCCAAGTACCGATGTAACATACAACCACTTTACCATGCATTGGACCTGAAAGCAAATTTTCTCTGTAAATTAAATTATAGGCTAACTTTGTATTGGGTATTAAATAATATTCAACCCCGTACTCATGGAATATAGGCAAAGACATAGGTCTTGACGGGACTTTATGTTCACAGGCACTTGGGTTAGGATTTGATTCTCGACTACTGTGGATAACTTAAAGAGGAAAATGCTTAGTGGTCTCATGTTGAAGCAAAACAGAGTGGCTGGGTTAACGTTTTTGATTTGCCAGAGGCATGCTCATGCACGTGTAATACAGATGGGACCGCCGGTGTAATCCGTATGGAATCACGGAGGCTGTTGGTGTTTTAGAAAAGTATAAACTTGCATAAATTCATCACAATTTTATTCCGTTTGTCCTTATTTTGGTAGACTGAATGTTATGAATGAACGTTATGCAGTAACAATCATTTCGAACGAGTCTTGCTTAGATATTAAGGGTAGCGTGACGTTACCTGTGTGCGTAAACAATTTTTTTCCATCAACCGATTATAAAAAGATGAGGAGCGTGAATTATGGCAACTATTATTAACTGTATGATAACCTTTTTAAATGTTTAATTTTATTTTTATTTTTATAGTGCTAATCTCTGCACTTACACTTTTTTTTCTACATATTTTAATGTATGATAACCTTCAATACTGTTATGTTTTTACGGTTTCAGTAGGTATTTATGTACATATATGTATACTTTAGTTGATAGTGAGACTGAAGTTGCCCATATAAACAGTGTAGCGTAAATATCTTTAGTTCAATATGTTGTGTATTTTTGCCAGATCTAGTATTTCAGGATAACAATTAAGATATTTCTATTCACATTTAAAGAACTGTCAAAACGAAATTTTAGCCTTGTAAAAATCAAAGGCTTGTTTAAAATATAAACATCAAAAGAAGATCAGAGCACTTTGTATAACACATATATGGGACACTAACAGAGTTAACAATAATACAGTTATTAACTGGAAATTGACTACAAATTTTTGAGTGGGTTGAAAAGAGAACAAGTTCTTTTTGCTAATTTGTGTTAGTATAACATTGAATTGGAAAGGATTTTTTACGTGTTTTTGGATTCCCACAGAGTAAAGATAAAAAAGAAATTGCAGGAGCAAAGATACAAACAACATTTATCCTTACGTATACACAATCACATGCAACTACATCAAACTTTTTTAAACAATCAAGAATTTTATGAGCAGTTGTGGCTTGCAAACAACATATTTTTAAACCTTGTTGATTGTTATTAAAATGTCGATAATTACGGAAACTTAAATCATCATAACTTAGCAAAGATCAATTAGTGTTTAAAAATAGTCAGAATCGTGATGAATGGGTTTTTTTTTATGGGAAAATTGTGAAGCGAACAGGTGGTTCAGTTGATTATGACATCTACAACATCTGAGGGCTTGCAGATGCGTTGTCAACGTTTAAAAAAGTGGGACCCGGTTACCTCACTCACGAGACGAAACGCGAAAGTTTAATACTTCCACTTCACGCCGGTCTGATGCCGTGGTACCCCTCGGACGAGCCTGACCATTTGTGCAGCAGCTTAGGCTCTGGCTTGACGTAATAAATGATAATTTAATGGATATATAAGACTACATGAAAAATGGAGTATATCGAACCAAAATAGGCTCGGTGGCTATCCTCATTTAGTATTCGTCTCGTTTATTATGGTTTCACATACAACACGCGCAAATTTTATTGGTGGTTAAATTCCACATTTATATGCTATTGGCTTAAAATATAAGGTCGAATAACCAAATACGGTGGAATATAATCGTATCGTTGAATATCTTAAAACAAGTTCAACTTGAAATTTAGATGTGGATACGTACATTCAATATTTTTTTCCATAAAATTCATCAATATTAACAACACGTTATATTCGTTCAAAAAATTTAAAAAAAGACTCGTACGTCTAATAGAAGGTTAATGACTTCATGAATGCCATTAATCTTGTATCGACTTGACTTTTAAATTTAAGAATGACAGGGGCTAAAATGGGTGAACAATGTTTACGAAAGTGAATTGAGTAAAAAAATAAGAGTATCAATACTTAAGTAAATAGTATGTTAAAATAGGCGGATACTAGAATACTGGAATATATAAATCAATTAATTAGCATAGGACTAATTAAGAAGTAATGTCAATTGCTAATTTCTGATGGTCAAAGTAGCAGGTGAAAAATACAGAGGAATGTAGGTAATTGTAGGGTAAGCAATAAAGTATTTAAAATCAGAGAATTCTAACATTATGGTTTAAATTTTTTTGTCAAAAATAACGCCAATCCTATATTTTTAATGTTTATGTCGATTGTGAACTGTTTAACCTGAACTGGTTCTTCGACAACATCGGCTTAAAATGTGAACCAGTTTAGATTAAATAGTTGACAATTACTTTACATTATATGACATACATAGGTGAATGTGACAGATGGTATAGGACGTATGATACAGAAAGGGATAGCAGTCTAAAGTGATAGCAGTCTATTTAATTGAAATCTATTTGCGCTAATTGGCATAATTTCAGGGCTTCAGTTTCGGTTCGCTAGTATTATAATATCTACCTCATATTTGTAAATATCATTTGCTTCACTACGGTTTATATAAATATTTCGTATTTTTTAAAGAATGATTAATGGTATAATCATGCTTTCATATGTAAAAGATAGTTAAAGTTGTGATATGTTGACAATAGCAAAATGGTAACATTTATTATGAATAATTGCGAAGTTGATATCTGTGACTATATTTTTATATCGTTTTTATGTTAAGAAAACCTTAGTCTTGCAAAATAAGTTTTCATAGTTATTTTCCCCGCGTATTTTATAAATAATTGCTAGTTTTAAGGTGGTAAAACCGGCCAAGCGTGAGTCCGACTCGTGCACTCGTCTGTTGTATGGGAGCCCGACTTAAATATTTTTTATTCTGTTTTTTAGTATTTGTTGTTATAGCGGCAACAGATATACATCATCTTTGAACAGACAGACAGTGGAGTCTTAGTAATAGGGCCCCGTTTTGCCGTTTGGGTACGGAACCCAAAAAAATTAACATTAGTCGTGTCACCTTTGGTATTTTAAAAGTAGAACAATTATTTCTGTGGCCAGAAGCAGTGGGCGATATTTATCCCACAATGTTTTTGGTGTCCAGTGATGAATCATCATCAGAAACGCGGCGTCCTTGTTCAAGCAGTTGCGTGCATAATTAATATAAAATACGACTCTCTCCTTTCATAATCATACCTGACATCCTGACGCCTTTGATTGTGGCAATATTATAAGTTTAGTTAATTATTACAGTTATTAAGGGGTCGGTGTGGGCGGTCATCATAAAAATTTTACTCTCATATTTTTTTTCAAACGCGCCAAAAGAAGTATATCTTAAAAATGAGCCTAAGACTTATTATGTATCGGGGATCTAACATAAATAGTGCGGTGACAATATGACAACCACGGATTAGAAAAATAAAAAGGCTCCATACCACAAATATCGACAGTGAGGCATAGTAAGTAAGCCAAACAATGGTTTGTACGTACATGACTCGTATCGGCTTACTATTACGTAAATGTGTGCGATAACATAACATAGTAAGCCGATCACCCGCCATTACGCCGCACTATGGTTCTGTTACAAGATACGGTTTACGTTATTTTTTTAAAATAAAATAATGCCACCTTGTGGTGTGTAATAGTGTAAGAATAATACTAATTCCTATAAAATGTGTCAAGGATTAACATATGGCAGTTTATCATTCTCTTGCCCTTATCCCACCCATGAGATCTCAGTGACAGGGCGCTCGCCTTTAATTCAATTAACTCGGGCAACCTGAGTTCGATTAAAAATAACAACAAAAAAATTTAGAAGATATGGGAAGTCCGCAAATCCGCAGTGAGGCCGCGTGGTGGACTATGCCCTACACCCTCTCTACAGAGAAAGTCCCTTGCCCAGTAGTGGGACATATATAGGCTGTTGCTTTACTCTATTTATAAAAAAAATTAAGTTATTGTGTTTAACAAAAGCAGTTTAATGCAATTTACTTTTATCTTGTCGATTTATCGTGCCTTTCATTCCCATTCAGGTTAAAATAAACAATTCTAAATCCATAACAAAAAATCGGTTGCTTCCTCAAAGAATTTCTTGAAACACTAATTTTCACCATTATAGGACTGAATGCCGTTTATATAGGTATTTAATTATATACAATACTAATCACTGCACCTATAATTTATAACGTGTTTCGTCGTGCAATTTTTCATATTTTGCATTCCATTAGTTAAATATTAATTATTATTATTCTCAGTTTTCTTATTACTGAATGTGGTTTGAGCACAGTTGGATACATCAAGAGTAATTAAAATTATACCAATACTGTATATACCATAATGTTATCAATTAGTTGCGTAAGTAGTAATCAATGAATCCTGTTATATCTATTAGCAAACAATTAATGCCATCAAAAATAGTGTTATAAAAAAGTGTTATTCGAAATAATTTTGAAAAAAAAATCAATAGATGAGACGAATGTTATTAAATAACATAACTATAGAAGTTAGTTTTAAACTTTTTTAATTTTTAAATTTGCAAAATACAAAAAGACTAACTGTTAGTTGATGGCTAAAACTTACGATGAGGCATTGACCCGAAGAATACAATCACTATGAAGCACGCACGCATGGTGTTGTCGATATTAGGTGTTATTGATATCACCGAGAACGAAGTAAAGAATCGAGACCGAAGGAAAATCTTAAGAAAAATCAAGAAAAATATTTCGATGATTTATGAGTGCATCCATCTTTTTAATCGGTAGTCGAGTCTCGACGCGAACTACGACCCTAATACCTCCGTACAGAAAATTCATCAGTAGAACATATTATGTGTTATTAAGTATTATAGACCTTAACGTTATAAAGATTGCTTTGAGCTCTAAGGTGTCGAATCCTTACTAATATATACTTATTATAAAGGCAAAAGTTTGTATGTAGTATGGATGTTTATTACTCTTACACGCGAATGCTACTGAATGGATTTTAATGAACCTTACAATAATATAGCTTATACATTAGACTAACACAAAAGCTATAATTGATATACATATTTTTATGCATATCTGTCTTTCTGTTTGAATGTTACACCTTCAGTCTATTCTTGTCTTGTATCTTGTATTAACTGATGTTTGTGCTTTCAGTCCTGAGACTATTAAAGCTTCATCTGACGCAAAACCGGTGGGCTAGCCAGAATCCACGGGTTTGGACCCTCCCCTGTGGGTACTGGGGAGGGCCGCGCATGTGCTCATGCGTGCGTTTAACTATGGTATGTCATCTAAGGGCCATCGAGGTTGGGGTTCGGACCGGGACCCCGATGGCCGTCGACTGTGATTTTAGCTAATCGGGGGCTGGGGGCGGTAAGAACCGCCCTGGAACGTGGGTGTACCTTGTGTAGCCTATTCTAGGCAGACGTAGTCGCGGACAGCAGCTAGTAATTCAATGATACTCGTACATCTAAGTGACCAAAGACTGTGTTAGGTTGATAACTCTGAGTGGTTTCTTTAACACTTCTTCATTCTCCTGACTTCATCGCACCTCGGTGTGGTTGGCACAACACATTAAGTTTTTTTATGGAATTTTTTTACGACCTGGCTGATGTCAACCCTCCATGGGGTAAAATACCCTATTCATCATACTTTTAACCTGTTAGAGGCCAGTAGTCCTCCCCTCACCGACTATTACAACGCACGGTCTTAAGCCACCGGTATCCATCGACTCGCTGCACATTTGCACAGATCGTCACTCCATCTAGTAGGGGGCGTTCTACATTGGGATGGCCCGTACGAGGCTGTCACTCGATTTACCTAAAATTTGCTCAGCAAGCTTATGATATATGATTGATATTTCTCTGCGTGATAGTGTTCTTAATGAAGATATCCGCAGTAGGAAGAACACCCAGATCCGGAACAATTATCTGTGGGTTACACAAATACTTGTCCCGTGTGGGAATCGAACCCACGGCCCATATTGGCCACCGTGTTAATATATTTAAAAATGACAAGTATATTTTATTTTATATTACCAAAAAGTTGTGAACGGAAGATTGATTAGAAGATGTAATCATCGTAAATGTACAATTAAAAACACGTTGATATCAGCACATTTTAAAAATAAATGTTTCTTGTGTTAGTTATAAGTTGTTGTTGAAATCAAAATTAGTCCCGATGAACGTATATTAATTTTATTATTTAACAAGCTTTAAACACTTACGCCTCGTTTCTGAAACAGTGATCTTCGTAGAAGTCAACTAATCAGCTGTCAAATGGCTTTTCAAATGTTATTTAAGTTGCCAAAAGGATGGTAAAACTCTCTGAATTGATCAGAATGATCTCTTTAATGATCAGAATGATTAATTTAAACGTCCTTTTGGCAACTTAAATAAAATTTGTAAGCCATTTGACAGATGATTGGTTGACTTCTATGATGATCAGTGTTTCAGAAACTGGGCGTTAGGAGCCTTAATAGACATATAAGTTGTAAAAGAGTTTATTGTACCGGATCGCGATGTAAACAAAGAACCTGTTGGAATGTAATCTAAAAATCTGACGCTCTGAGTCTCAGAAAGGAATTATAGGTTCCTTTGCTTATTTTGTTTCATGAGTAGATAAAATTTAAAATGTGAAGATATATCTGCGACTGTTTTATTTACACTTTTTTTTTTAATTTTTGTAAATAATAAACACGAACAAGCAGAAATGAATTGAGAATCAAAATGACAAAAACTTATATATACTTGTCTATATAATCAAAGGATAAAAACTTTTATGACTGGTTTACTATAGTCATAAAGTGGAGTATTTGGGTAATTTATCCCGTAAAATTTGAAGAAATAGATGTATCCATCGAGTATTAGTTCGCATAACGATCGATAAATCATCTTTTACTTAGATGTGTTTATGTCCCCATACTAAGTAGACGGGTTTAAGTTATTGCTTAATTCACTCGCCGCTCGCCTCAACTTCGCGTATGTATTGCAAAACTTTCTACGCTTTCTCTTCATTTCGGAGCAAGACAACCATTGTCATACGCGTAATATTAACTTCCTGATTTTAGAGATCTGTGAGCTGTGGATTGTTTACGGACCGATGATATGCACATTAGTATTGTACAGACATGCGTTAAAAATGCCTTTCACTACTCACCACCCAAGGTCTGTCCCTCCAAAACAGCCGCCATGGTCACCAGAGAAAAAAACAACCAAATTTTCACCATATTTAATCAATACAATCGTGTAACTGTTTCAGTCAATTTATGGTCAAATATAAATTGAGTTAACAATAAAAGAATTTTTTAAACTGTTGGCTTTACAAATTGACGTCGCCTCGCCGCGACATTCTAAGCGACTGTGTCTGCTTGACATTTGCGGCAAGTTACGCTTGGGTACCGTTTAAATAGCTGCGCTCGAAAATAATCTTTATCGCTTCAGTATAATGTTCAGATTTGATTTGTATAGATTGTCTGACTCGGAAGGCTGTCTTTGTAGGTCTGGGCACGATGTCGACGTAAATTGAATCATACAGAACGCGCTTAGGGTTTTAAGTTACAACAAGTTTACAAAGAACTGGTTTATAAGTAGAAGACCCATGTCCATTTTATATTGAAAGTGATTCTTCCTGTTTGAAGCAGAGCTTAATTTGCGGCGAGTCAACGGAATCGCCGAAAACGCTATATAATTAATGTATCAATATAATTTCTGTAAAAATAATATAATTTCTGTCGCGTCTGATTGTAATAAAACACAAGTCATTATCCTTTATTTTTCCTTTATTTTTGAACAATTGCACGATAACAAAGATAAATAGTATTAATCGAAGAGATCAACTTAGCGTTATCTTATTGTCTACAAGGAAATAATGGCAAGTATTATCATTTATAGCATAAATAATTAGGTGCTTTGTCCTGACTAACAAATAAAAAATACTGTCTTAAATTTGTTGCATTTATTAGTAGATAATACGACAAAATTATTATTCGATTCTATTGTTATATCTGCTAATAATTGGGAGTAACGCGAAATTATTTTTTTTTCAGTTAATTTTGAACAAACCGTTGGCTTTACTATAGTTCTTCAGTCTATAATACAAAAAAATAATTAGCTTTTTATTTATTGACACGAATTAGATCTTCTCGGCTTTATCTTGGACTAAACAAGTGTACTTGTAGCTCCGAGGTGTACTGATTATAGATAATGAACATTAAAACATTAATCTTATCAATGTAATCTTATTAACAGATAAATAAAAGAATTGACAATATGCAAATTTATATAATCTATAAATACGTATGTAATTTATCATTGTGTTATTGAAAATTTACATTTGTAAATCATATCTTCTTAGAGTGAGTATATTTGATTGCATATGGGTCATTATTATAATGCACGTATAACCGACAGATTTTTTTTTAATTTAGCTCGGTTTACTGATACAGGTCGAATATTTGCCATTCTTTAGAATAACTGTTCAAAATTTGCAAATAGATCTTACAAAAGCTATTACGGAGTAATTAAATAGTCTTACGTAAAACTAATTGAAAAGTAGTTATCATAACGGTGTATTTAAACTATATTTTGAACATTACGGATGTTATCTATAATTAGTAATATTTTTATTTTATAAATAAATTACATGAAGCAGTAAATAATGTTTGCTACTGCAATATATAGGTAAAACCTTCCTCGCAGAGTAAAATAGATTGGGCACGATGTGAGAACGTCTACTCAAGATTGAGATCGCGGGTCAAAATTCCATATGTATGCACAAATGAGTGTACCGGATTTACTTATCAGTAAAAATTACTCGCAAAACTGTATCCGGTCATCGCCAGCGACAGGCTCAACTTCGCTTTATACGCCGGTTTAAATATCTTGAATAGCCGACCTGGCCATTTGCTGGCTTCTTCGCCAGGTTGGCCATTTGTGCATCGTGACATTTCTGCGGGCTGGCCTATTTTAGCGTCTAAAATCGATGTAGTTTGTTGACGGTGTTATAACGCCTCTTATCCAGCCGGTGGTGACCTTGACGTTGTGGTAGATGCCGGGCTGGTGGTCGACACCGCAACCGAAGCCAGCTGACGTGATGCCGACCAGGTAGTAGCGCCCACTGTCTAGCACAATTAATGGTCCACCGGAATCACCTGGAGCGAAATATTAATATGCACAATTTGTGATGTTATACGGTTTTGTGCCAATGAGACAAGAAGATCGTAAGAGGCGTAAGTGTTGGTATAATTATTTGGTTTGAAATGTGTAGATAGATGAATATATACATGTAACATCTAACCGAAGAATGAAGTTATTAATAGGAATAATAATTGTAAAAATCTGGAGATATTATGGACTTTTATTATAGAGAAAATATGTAGATAAATGTTTATGTGACAAAAGGAAATGTTGTTAGGAAAATATTGCATGTAATAATATTGTCCCTTTCGGGTTCGATTAATGTGCTGGGAAATTCGTTACCATCGAATTAACGATGGTTAAAAGAATACCAGAGATATCAAGATTTAAATCATCACACACAAAACGCATAATTGTTTTAAAAAAAAATTTTTAATTTTTTATTTTCTTTTAAACATAGATCTCACGTTGGAATGTTGTGTGTTGTAAGGGCGTCTTGTATTTAAAACAGTATCCAGATTCACAATGTTTTCGCAAGTTTACCTAAACATGCGTCCTGATGGCCGTCAGAATGTCCGGCACAGATCATCTCTGAATGAATCTCCACTGATATCTGCTTGCTTTGGTGCCAATTAATACACTGTTCGGTACCTGTCGGCGGAAAAGTAAACGTTTTATACTAAATAATTAAGTAATTGTCTTCAAACATTCAATAATAATATACTCTATTCATTAGTTTTACTAGTTCACTAGTTTTACTTTGTAAGTGTAAACTAATCTAATAAAACAACAATAAATTAAATTTAGTAAGTTACACTATGTTCAAAAATTTTTTTTTAATTAGGTTTATTTCACATACTTCACATAATATGTACCTCAGTTCGGTTAAATGAATAACTTTTTTTTAAGTCAATAATTTTCTTTTTGTTTTTTAATTAAAAATAAACATTACTGAAAACTAGCAATCGTATTTGAGATTTATAAACACTTACTTAGAATAGGAACGGTTGCAGAGCGCAATAGGTTAGTGCCAGTGTGGCCGTTGCTGGCGTCAGTCTTGCCCCAGCCGGCGATGACCCCGGACTTTCCGCGCAACTCCAGGTCCAAATCCGGGAGGCATATGGGTAGGATGTGGCCCGTGTAGGTAATGGGCCTGGCGAGTCTCAACAGAGCGATGTCGTAGCGATCCGGTTGCGTCATGCGGAACTGGAACAGCGGATGCAGGATCTTCTGGATCACCCTGCGGATAATGGAGTTTTCAATAACGGCTAACAACCAAGTAGATGTTCAATGGTTTTATGTCGAAATTAAAATTATATACGAGATAAATATTTTTTTTGATACCTTGGTAGTCTTTTTTTTATGTGAAAAGTTGCCAAGCGAGCAGACGGTTCACTTGATGTTAAGTGAATACTAATAATAATAGACATCAACTACACCCGAGGGTGGCAGATGCGTTGACAATCTTTTTTTGAAAATTGGGTTAGTCAAAAAAACAAAACCTTCTTTTAGGTTTTCAATTGTCATTATGGTGAAGATTGTGACAGAGTTGTAATAATGGCTGGTGATTTTGCATAGCTATCTATAGTATCGACATTATGCTTGAAAGCGTTCCATGCAATAAAGTGAAAAAAAAAAATCAAATGGATGGACGAAATGTAATGTTGAAAACAGTCTGTGAGAAGCAATAAATAAAACATCACTAACTGACATTAATTACGCATGGTTTATCACGTTAATAGTATAAATGTAAACTTTTGATAAAACAATTTTGATTTGATTTATTTCAATTTTAGTGACATGTTATTGTTACTACATACCTACGTGGCTAAGATAGTCTTATGTATAATTTCACAAAGGCACTTCTATATTTTAATTACAAAGCTTTTGGATTAAATTATACTAAAAATTTGGTGCGTGATGTGGGATCCCACTACGAACATGGAACTCGATCAAGTTGCGAATCTGTCTAACTGCAATAAATTAGGTCAGAGATTGACTATAACATCGGGTCTCATGGTCAATGTCACAATAAATTTAACGAAAATAGGTCAAAGGTGTCAGATTATACCCGACTTTCCGCGCAGTATGTGCCCCCGCTGTGGTATCCAGGGCGCCCAGCCATACAGCAATGTCCCTGGGCCTAGCGCGCGAAACGCAGTGAGCCGCGGTCGCGACAAACCACCGCGATACTTGAGTTGAAATAAACGTATTATGGCAATGTGCACACACTCTAATTCACACACACACACACACACACACACACACACACACACACACACATCCAAGTTGAAGGGAGTGACTCCCCACGCCACTCTCCACGGACCCAATTTTTTTTCTTTTTCTTTTTTTAAAATTGGCCTTACTTTAGGATAACATAATCCTATGTTGTAAGGACGTTTTACAAACATAAACTTCAGGCGGATAAACACCGAGATGCGAAACAATTATCTGCGGGTCACACAAATTGTTCTGTGTGGGAATCGAACCCAATACCTTGGCAACTACGCCACGGAGTCATCATTTATTTTGCATCTTCTAAATGCACACCATTTCTCTTTAGTATATCATCAATTTAAAGAGGCAAGATAAGCTATTTTCATTTTATATCGAAATAAAACTTAGTTTTATTTCGTTCAAATCATATAAATGTTATACAAGAATGTTAGAAATAAAATATGTTACAAAAGTTGTCTTTTTAATTTATTTCAATGTAGATGAGAATAGATTTTAATTTTTAAAATGGACGACATGCATGTGGCTTACCGCTCTGCGAATAATTGTTTATATAACCCAGAATGTTTCAATATTGATGATACATTATTGAGAAAATGATTCACTTTAAAAATAACTTTAACCTCTTTCAAATTTTGTTTAACGGTGATGGATGAGTCACTGTTGATCTCAAAACAAGTCGAACAGTTTCTCTTTAATAATAAAATGAAAAGAGAAGAAGTGAAATTTCGATACAGAGAATACAATATTGTGCAGGTTGTAACATTTTATCCCCAAAAACTGAAAAAGCTAGTGCCATAAAAAATTATTGAACTCATTAGGCTTACTGCCGTACATATATCATATATGAAATGCTGAGATTTTTGGGAAAACTTATCAGCACGCCACTGAGATTTCTATCGCGACCTTACCGTTAGTAAACCTATTCTTAGACATTGAACCCAACCATTTGACCCGTATTATAGACTAACGACCGGTTTCTGAAACACTGATCATCGTAGAAATTAACTAATAAAAAATAAGATGAGTTAATTTCTACGATGATTAGTGTTTCAGAAACCGGGTGTTAGCCAACAATTTAACTCTATCAGTAGATAAAATGGAAATGTATATTTCTGTTTGTTTACCTAGGACACCGCCACATTGGAACTCCGAAATTCTGACATGAGCCTGCCAAGGAAACTCGGCGAACCTTGCTTCTCTGCCCCCTATGATTCTTTTTTGAAGTATTCGTGTGGATGGTAAACCGCAATCCATCTGTAAATTATAGAGGGGCGTTGAATATTTTGTCCTCTAGGCAATTAATACGTATTACGTATATAGTAAGGGTTACACAGTCGAGGGCTGTCAATGTCACGGCTCGCATGTTTCTGCGAAACTCTGCTAAGGAAGTGTGTATTGGATCTGTGGAGATATGCTATATAATCTAGGGTCTACAAACATAAATGAACAACAAATAATGAAATGTTGTATTTGTAAGTTTATCGACAACTTATATAACTACTAATAAAATTAAAAAAAAAAAAAACCGTCAAGTGTGAGTTGGACTCGCGCACGAAGGTTTCCGTACTATTATCAAAAAAAAAAACGGCAAAAAATTATGTCTGTTGTAAGGAAGGGAGCCCCACTTAAATATTTTTTTATTCTGTTTTCTAGTATTTACTGCAATAGCGGCAACAGACATACATTATCTGTAAAAATTTCAACTGTCTATCTATCACAGTTCATGAGATACAGCATGGTGACAGACGGACATACAGACAAACAGAGGAGTCCTAGTATTAGGATTCCGTTTTACCCTTTGGGTACGGAACCCTAAAAAGCTCGGTTTGATTGTCTATTTTTTTAAAACCCTGAGGCAACCAGGTTTGAAATGTAAGATGATTTGAAAGCTTTTGATATCATCTCCAGAGTTAATCATAAGATCACCGTTAGCCAAAAGTCAGTTAAAATTATAAATGTATAATAGTGAGTGAGTGTGTATTTACTCCCTTCTTGACGGAAGAATGGAATTGAAAGTAAATTGTATAGGAGATGACTTATACGCTGGAATAAAGATAAATTAGCAATTATCCCATAAAAGTAAAACATTTACAATAGATTTTTTTTTCTTTTATGGGATAAATATTATGAAAGTAATCATGAGGAGGAATATAATGCAAATTTGATTGTGTTACCTGAGATGGATCATCATCGGCACGTCTTCTGAAAACGTTAGCTGGGACCACGTTTCTTTGAGGAACTTGGCGCAACTTTGGCGGTACTACTTTGTATTTCCATTCGGATGAGGGTATGCTATAAAATAAATAGGTCAGCTAAGAATATCTATTTTAAATATGCATACTATTTGTTAAATACAACTTTCATTCGGAAAATTGTTAAAAAGAATGATAAATCTTAAGTAAATGATACAACAGTTAAGTTAGACTAATAAAAAAAGGAAAATAAAGTTTCCAAAATATGATGTATAAAAGTAAGAAATTATTAATTTGTGATTAAATTACTGAGATTCACTTTAAGAATTACGTTACTGCGATATTAAATAATAATTATTACATTATTGGCGCTAGGTGGCGAAGTTGTTAAGCTATTAGCTTCAGCGCTGCGTCGTGGGTTCGATTCCCACACGGGACACGTACTTGTATGGCCGGTCTTAAAAAATGTAGCCAAAACCATTTACAACATGATTCACATGTTTTGGCTACCTTACCTAGATAGCGATAAGTCAGTTGGATGATGATGAAATGATTGGAAACAACAGTGAAAACTTACACGTTGTCGAAACCATCTGATGTCCTCACGGGCTCGGGAGGTCCGCAGCAGGAGAAAAGCCAACCGCTGCCACAGCCCCTCAGTCTTGTACCTCCTCGTAACCAACAGCTAAATGACAGCGTGCAAGGTTTCACTTCAGCACCCACACTGCACGTTGTCGGGTAGCCGAAGAAGGACGCCAGCACGCGACTGGTGAGAGCTGCAATTTCATAAAGTAGTTCATCCTGTTGCCATGCGAGCTTTCCAGCTAGCTCGTTAGGGAAGTGGTAAAATATATATAAATTGGAGAGAATATTTCGGCCTCAGTGCAGATTCCTCGTAAAGAGGTACTTAAACTTGTGCGTTACAGTTGAGTAAGATAATCTCAGGGAAATTCTCTTAACGATTGGAAACATACGTCTAACATCTTTGAGGTTTAGAGGGGATGGGTGATTTAAACTAACAAAAGAAACACTTTCTCGTTTTCCTTTCGTTTAAAAAGAAAAAAAATCTAAGCGAACAATCGTTCCTTCCTTCCTTTACTAGTAGCTACTAGGCACTGTTTTCCATCAAATTTCAGGTGATTTTAGTTGTATCGACTGTTGCCGTTACTGGACATAAATATAGGGCACGTTCCTGGTTATTCGAAAACTATGCGACTGTTGCTTGGTGTTCTCTACTAACGCCCGGTTTCTGAAACACTAATTATCGTACATGTTAAATATAATTTGACAGCTGATTAGTTAACTACTACGATGATCAGTGTTTCAGAAACCGGGCGTTAAAGTTTCGGAGAGAAGAATGATTATTTTACATTGACTTGAACTAATTAAAGGAAACGGGATAAAGTTCTTTCGTAATTTATATTATAAATGGTTTTCAGTAAGTATTGATTATAATCTAAGTATTTATAAAGATATGAAAGAAAACCCTATTTATCATTACCTTCTACGGCGCCTGTTTGTCCAGTTACGTTCAAAATCATGAGAGGTATTAGAACTTTGGTGCTCATCCGCCATTTTGTAAATCTTCTTCGCCGCCATTTATTGATAAATTTAGATTCGCAATAACGGGGAACTCCGTTTAATTTAGTGGTTTCGGGATATTTAATGGAAATCCATGGTCTATTTGTACAGCTATTCACCCTTGACATGGCGCTATCAGAGATTTAAATTGTTCGGACATATCGTAGGTTGGCGTTTCACGTGTTTTATTCCGAATAGAATTCAACCTGCGAAGAGAATATAAACGTTTTAAAACCATTGCTTTTAATATTAAAGCGACCAGTTTAATAGATGTGTATACATCCAAATTTTATCACTATATAAAAAATACACTCCCATTGCTTTGTTAACATAATGTTAATGTTGTAACAAGACTGGGCCGTTTGATCCGGGAACAAAAGACTGAGTTGGAAGGTGCGCTGGTTACTTTTGTTATTTATCATATATCATTTATATAAATAGGCATCTGAACAGAATTTTTTTGGTTTATTATAATGCTTCTAAATGTAAAACCCTAATCCTAAAGCATAATGTGGTTTGAAACAAGAGCTTCAAATGAAATTGAAGACATACGATGTTGATGATTTGTTGACGTTCAATAAGAGCTTAAGTTAAGCCTATATTGAATAAAGGTACTTTGACTTTTATGTTTATTTTGTTATTTACAAGTAAAAATCTATATATGCATAAACTTAAGGTCACAATTATTTTACGTGAAGTTTAGTTGTAATCTGGGTTATGTTAAAGCGCATGTAGATGTATTAGGTCTTTACATAATTTTAAATATATCGTTGCCGAGAACTCTACAGTGACCAATTTTATAACATCCATAATTGCAACTCATCACAAAGACGATAGATTATCTGTTTTTCGGTTAAGATTTGAATTAAATGAGTATTAATTTGATGGCACATTTTTTCTATTGTAATAAATACCCTATAAAAAGTGCATTGAGTAAGATTATTTACGGTGGTAGGGCCACGCAGCAGCCACGAATGGGCAGGCCCGTCCGGGTAGGTACCACGAACTCACAGAAGACCGGCGTAAAGCGGAAGTATGTATATATATATATATATACAAATACTTTCGCGTTTCGTCTGGTGAGTGAGGTAGTCGGAGCCCAATTTTCAAAAGGTTGTCAACGCATCTGCAACCCTCGGGTGTGGTGGAGGTCCATGGGCGGCGGTATTCACTTAACATCAGGTGAACCGTCTGCTCATTTGGCAACTTTTCACATAAAAATAAACAAATTAATATTACCTGCATAGTAATAAGTAACGAAAAATACTCACGCTCAATAATGATAAAGGTGTCACCTTTATCATTATTGAGCGTGAGTGTAAAATAAATGTTAGATATATGTATTTACATTTATTGTTAACTCAAAGGCGCTATTTCATACAGCAGCCTGGCCCAGTAGAGCGGTGGTGCGTACTCCGCTTTCCCTCAGCTAATTGTTACATCGCAGCTGCTACAGGCTTTATAGCTGCCTGTGTTTACAGACCATTACTACTCGATAAGAGGCTGGCGCAAGTGAGAGTTAAATAAATAGAATGCCTATAATAAAACAAAGGCAATGCATTTTGCCAGAGCGAAAACCGGTAATTTGCCCGTGATAGACTTTACGACCGATTGGCTTAGTGGATAGTAAGTTTCCCTTGTGACTGAGGGTGTGATCCAACACCGACCACTGGAAATAATTACTATCAAAATGAATTCCAGTAGTAGGTGTTGGTTTAAATAAATATTGTGTTATGAACATAGGGTATTTCTAGTGCCTGGTTGTTTACATATTTGTTGTAATAATGTAATTTTACTTACAAAATTTCGGTTACGGCACCATACTACAAGGCTTCGCTTAGTTTTGTGTAAAATAAATGAAGAAATATTTATATTTTTTATAGTTTCAAACATTTATTGTCGGTTAAGTTTTTATTAATTACTTTTATATTTCCAAGTTTAACCATAATATTTCCAAGAACGATTTTCCAAGTAGGCCTTTTGGACAATAAAGTGAGAATGTAACAAATGCTTAGCGATGATTGTTAGTTTAAAAATATTATAAAATATATAATTGTTTACATTGCTGAATATAATTATATATTTACGTGACATTTTATGTAGGTATGTATTATGACCCCAGAAAATGTTTAAAGTTAGGACTGTCTATTGACGTCTACACTAACTGTGAGGCCGTAGATGCGTTGCCTACCTTTAAAAAAAAGCGGGCCCCGATTACCTCACTTACCCAACGAGCCGCGATAATATAATAATACTTCCACTTCATACTTGTCTTCTGTGAGGTCATGGTGCTTCCCCGTACGAGCCTGAAATTTGGCAGAAATTGCTGCGTTGACCTCCTACAGTTAGAAATACTTACGCGTCATAATACGAGGCGAGATTTAATCTCATGATATTGTCAATTCAATTCTATTGTAAAAGTGAAATTTAGAAGAGTCCAAAGGAACAATAAAAATTGCGTTTTACATTTGAAAGTCTTTAACTATTCAGAATGGATTTCTTTCATAAACATTGCAAACGGTACGGAACACGCTGGGTCAAATTTCAAAGCACGAAACAAAAAGCTTTCTTCTTCCGCTTTGAATTTGTTCAGACGTTTTCTTTTTTGTTTCTTACAAACAAATGAAGATGGCGTATTGTAAGAAGACGTAAGGAAAACGAAACAAAATTATATTGCTTTGTTTGTCTGAAGTTGAGTTTAAAAGATGGATGACAAAAGATATATAAGTTGGGTTGGTAGGGGCAAAGAATATTGTTTTTGTGGAATATATGGTAATGGCACAGGCAGGTCAGACGCTGGGGCTTACTATTCAAAGATTGGCGACGCATATATAACCAAGCGATATTCACTTGATATCAAGTGGACCGCCTGCTCGCTCTTCAACTTATCACTTAATAAAACGAACTCTACGACAAATTATAAATCTAGATATTCCTTTTTTTACTCTCTGTTTATTATACCTGAGCTGTTCTGACTATGAGTTTGCGTGTCAAAGTGCACAACTGTCCATAAACCTTTCAAGCTCTTCTATATTGGATATAATATGTACTGCCATCCTCGATATTCAGATGTATCATTAGACTATGTAGACTATGTACTAGAGTATTGGTTTTACGATTGCGTTCTTATCAACTGATGGGCAGGTTCGTCCGGGGAGGTACTACGTCCATGTTGAATCGGTGTGGAGTTTCTCTTATGAGTGATTTACCCTCGGCACACTCTTTTAAAGATTCGCTAGGTTTTCACAGCCTTTACCCAAAGGTGACACCCATGGCATCTAAAACACCCGTTTTAGTTAATATGGGTGGTTAATTTACCACCTACTTATATTAATAGTGGAAAAAGTATGTTAATGAAAATTGTGATTATGTTCAAATTCATATAGACTTCTTTTGAATAAAGGAACTTTAGTTGAAGTGTTGAAAAGGGATCCGAAATGTGTATAAGCCTATTCTTTAGAATTTTTCGAAATTCTTAATGAAACCTAATTAAAACTCATGATATGCAAACAAACAAATTTTATATCTCCATTTTATAAGGATGGAATATAGCTTCTGAAAGAATAAATTAGTGGTAGTTTTATTAATATTTTGAATACGGTCCTTTCAGTTTCATATAAATCTTCTGGAATGTAAGAAACATTTCAGCAAATGCTACACATTACTACACATTACAGCAATGCAATCATTTTAAAAATTTCATAGCAGCTTCAATCCATCGTCAATTGAACAAGTATTATATTAATAATAATGTGTTTCCACAGATGTTGTAAAGCTTTAGAAGTATTTTAAATTTTAAAATAAACGAATAACACCTTAAAAATATTTTAAGTACTTTAAAATGCTTATAATTATTATTTACCCATTTCGTTAGTTCTCTTATAATGCAGGTGTAGAGCAAATTCTTAAACATTGTCTAGTGGATACTTTACAGGTTTTAAGTTAGAGCGTTGTTATCAAAATTTTGACATCATGATCAATAGTGATGTAAGTGTATTAAAAATTGCTGTATTAATTACACTTTCGTCAATTTTTAACTTTGTATTGAAAGATTTTGGTGAAATATGTTTTAAAAGATTTAAAATAAATATATTTTTAAAATGACATATAAAATATATGAGCTCTAGGTATGAAAGAGTTTTTACTTGTATGTTACTCAAATTAAAATGAAGTGCAATTTCAAGTTTAATAAGGAAAGTTGCGATATTAGGTATAACTGGGTCGGCTAGCATCTTCATACATTTCTCTGAGCCTAACCCGATAGAACCAATCAAAACAGGCTTTTTAGGACCACAGTATAGTATACTTACTTGTTGACAAGATCAGCGCCTTTCACTTTTAGATCTAGAAACACTTTCACTCAGCAAAACTCACAAAAACAAATCATGCTATTATATTTATATTAAAAACCAATATACACGTGACGAATACTCCTGTCGTAGAAAGCTTTAATTTGAAAGCTTATACTTCAAAGCGTAATTCGTTACCAGCGTGAATAATTTATTAGATTAAATATCGATATTCGATTTGTGACTGATCGCGAATTATGAACGCTCTTAGTTGTTGGTGTTCGTCAATCTACAGCGGCGTTCAAAGCTTGACTGTCTCCGGATTTCTCAAAACCAGTCACTGTAAGGCTGGTTTCACATCGATGCGCTGTCACGATTATTATAGCTCCAGTTTAATAGCTACGATATATCACATTATCTTTTCTACGCTTATCGGAAATTATGTGGAAAAATGTAATAATCATTAATTAAATCTTGTAATTGGGACATTGACCGTATAATTATTTGTTTACGAATCTTTCTGGTACAATCTATGATTATAATTTATCCATATAAAATATTCACAGGGCCTCTAAAAATTGGTTAAGATTCATTGAAAAAAAAAAAGTAATTTTAAAACTAACTTCAGAATTTATACGAATTAGCTCTACCGATATGTATTAAGTCTCCTTTAGTTATAAAATTAGGGAGAAAGTCATTATAACATGCACCAGTCTAGACGCATTCTCTCCCGCACTATTTATAATTTGCTTTACTTAGGCAGCTGCTATCATTATAAAATATCTAAATCTAACGAACGTAAAATTATTTTTTAAGGTTGCATCACACGATAAGGTAAATTTAAACGTTACTGATAAATAGTGAATAATTTGGAGGCCAAACTGTGTTAGGGTCATTCATCAAATTTTTCCAGTAAATATTTAATGTTTTCAAACGGATTAAAAAAAAAGATGAGATCCCAAATATGTATGTTTTTCTTATATTTGTTACCTCAGATTGCTGTTATTTATATATCAATTTTTAAAATCCTTTACATATTGGGTTTGGTTTAGCTCCCGTGTAGTCCCATATTAATTCCGTTATTATTGCACCTTGGACTTAAGACTTCTTCTTCTTCTTCTTCTTTCTTGATTAATGGCCTCTCTTAAAAGAATTCTGCCAATGTCATGTCAGTCAAGGGAACTCCTCAAAATCATACAGAAAATGTGTAGAGTGCGAGATATTTGAAATTGGTTTTGTTTTTTGTTAACAATTCATTTTGGATTAAACTTGTGTATGTACAGCAAAGTGTGCCACTACCTTTATTCAGTAGACAGCCTACGGAGCGGAAAGTTGTAGATAGTTCTATTTTGTTTTTTTTCATATGCTAAGTTTTTTTCCTCTAACAGATTCGTATTTCTGAGGGTGGACAATCGGCTCTAGGTAATTTTATTTTAATCAGTAACTGTTATGTGGCAAACTCGAGCATGGTTTCACCTTTAAAAATGTGTGAATTCTCAGTAGTCAACATAGTAAATGGATGGTTTTTTATGTGAGAAGATGGTAAGCGAGCTGGTGGTTCACCTGATTTACAATCCACCACTAATTGACATTTGCTAAAACCCATGGGGTTTCAGATGCGGTGCAACCTTTTAATGTGGGCCCCGGTTACATCACTAACCAGACGTATAACACTTCCACTTCTGTGAGATCGTGGTACTTCCTCGGACGGACCTGCCCATTCGTGCAACAGCGAAGTCTGTTGCATGGCCATAACGTAATAACCTGACGTTTGTATCTGCCTGACTGTCATTTTGCGAGCTCTATACCAAGAGAACCACTCGTACATACATGATTGTGTTTTTATCACCATATATATATAGTGTTAACCCCAATTGAGCCGGGCCGGCCCACATCTCGTTATATTAAAGAAACGGTTCAACGATATGTTAAAAAAAGATGTGTATACTTATGTACGCACGTAAGAAGTTATACTTCGTTAGCGTAACAAAAGAAAAATAACTAAAAATGTTATCTCCTATGCCTATTCTTTGTTTGTAAGAAAAGACATTAAATACAATTAAATAACTTGGTATTATAGGGTATTCTAGCGAATTTATATTTATTTAACCTAAAATATTTTATTACTAGTAGATATACTAATACAGGTATGAAACTATATAGTATTGAAACACTTAAATCATTTCAAAAAGGAAACTGTAAGACGCGCAAAAAGAAGTATAACTTCGAAAACTTTACTAAACGAGCGCCCGGACAATGGTATAACGGCTTTTCATATGCAACTAAAATATATCTCTATAATTTAACCAACGTTTTAATTAAAAAGAAGTCAAATCATATATAATCACGCAAATATTAAAAATACATATAAACTATTTCTATCATTTTAATATGTAATGTGTTTTTTAAAGTATTCATGTTGATAATTAAAAAAAATACCGTTGTTGTATCAATACCCTACAGACGGCAAATATTTGCAGGTTCATTAAATTATTTGTCGCTGATATTAGTGGACTTAGATATATGAAAAAATCCCTCATAAGCTGTATGAAATAGAAGTCTCCAGATTTATTATAGCAAGCATCGTTAAAAAATAACAATTGGATAGTTTAAAAAGTTCTCTTAATATTTCATGAGATCGTACGATATACAGTCTTGTGGGAATCGGTGAAAGTACCATATCCTGTATAAATAGCAACTTATGTGGAGACAGTAACTGAGAGGAAAAGTTAGCGTGGGAGAGTTATTATGTTCATTCAGTATATATCCTTATTATATAAAACTCTGTGGACGATTTCGGTTTAATGATATGTAATGTCTTGGTTGTAGTATCTTTTAAATACGCTTAAGTTGTTATTTTATAGGACACAACTTGTTAAATGAAACTGTAGCAAAGATGAAATATTGGGCTACCCTTAACCCATTATAGGCCCTCTATGGCTGTGTCAGAGTAACTAACTGTTATTTTTTCCTCTCCAGGAGATATTTGGATTTATAATTGGATGAAGAAGAACTATTTAATATTTACTATGTGTATGTTTTAGTTAGAGGGGCCCAGTCCCCGTGGTAGTTAATTATGTTTAAGCTTTTAGACGACATAGACTAATATTCTAATTCATTAATTATTATCATAGTGTCCGTGGCCAAAGACGAGACTGGTTTGTTTGTTGCTCATTGGTTTTTATTCAAAATAGCTATAAAGCCAGAAGTTTTTTTTACTCTTTATTTGCCAATTGATGTCAAATCACACGTTAGGATAAAAGTGCTGCAATAAAGATTTAGCTGTCAATAATATAGAGCCGCTTATTGTCTCATGACGCATAAAAAAACTTAGTTTATTCGGATGAAGCTGTTAACACCCAGTTAGGAGATAAGTCGATATATAAAATATATATAATATTACTTGGTACGCAATCTTTGGCCGTAACTATTTGATGGGCTTCAATGAACACACGTAGAAAGTAACTGATGTATTTCAATAGGACTTTCACTGCATCTTTCGTAGGTCGTTATTGTAGGTACTAAGAAGGGGTTCGTGATTTCATCTACTGCAAAACATGTAGCAATATAATCACACCTTTTTCTTTCGAAAAATATCAGATTGTCTATATCTATATCCCCCATTCTCCCTTCAATCGTACCTCGTAATGCCAATTAATTAAGGATATTTTGCTTTATTCAAATTATAGCTTGGCATTTATATATATGTACATGGGTCTACTTGTGCCTGATAAGTACTATAAGTTGTGTTGTATAAATATTGATTCGAGCGGAGTTTTAATCATGTGCCGGAAGGGACTATTCAGAATCAAGCAGTAGGTCAACCGGTTCTTATATAAGCTGGCGCCAAGACGAATCTTTAACGCGCCACATCGATTTCGGTATGGCAAATTTCACTTAATTCCGATTAGCCGCGTAGCCTCATTCTTTTAATTTTTTTTCTTAAGAACATTGTAAAGGAACAAGCTTTACTTTAATACCACTGTTTCTTACAATATTAGGGGTTTCAGGTGAGTAGCCATTCGTTAAAGGAATACCTGTGTTGTCTAACCCATATTTTTTTTTCATTTTTAATGAACATTGCCCTTACTTTAGAATAACATCATCCTGAATTGTATGGATGTTTTTACAAACGTATATTTCACGTGGACAAACACCCAGATGCGAAACAACAAATAGTTGTCCTATGTGGGAATCGAACCCACGACCCCCGATGCCAAAGCCAATACCTTGACAACTGCGCCACGGAGTCATCAATGAGTAAATTATGAAAATTTAAGTGACGTTCAGCCATACCAGTACCAGCCCCAAACTAAGCAACGCTTTTACTAAGGGTAACAGAATTTTCTTTTTGTAAATAAATACATATTATAGATATGTAAACACCAAGACACTACAGAAACACTATGTTCATCATACAATATTTTTCCAGTAGTGGGGATCGAACCCACACCCTACGGCGCAAGGGGCAGGGTTACTACCCACTACGCCAATCGGGTCGTCATGTTTCTGGACACGTTTTTACACAACGTTATCTAGTCCCAATCTAAGCAAGGCTTCTGCAATGGTTAACGTTGTAAGTGACAAACATAATAGACATAAACACCCAGACACTAGAAAAACACTATTTTCATCAGACAGTTGTTTATTAGTAGTGTCATCAGACGCACACCTTTTTTTGTAACAGACAGGGTCACCATCTACTGTGCCGAATGAGAGAATGAGATTAAAATAAGGCATTTCTTAAAATTAAACACTTCATGCCGGTTTAATTGGAGTCGACGTGATTTTTCGCTTGAAGCTGTAAATACAATTTTCAAAGTGGAAATGAATAAGTGAAAGTATATTTTTTATCCTAACGGGTGGTAGGGATTCTACAAAATAGAAGATGGACAGATCAGTCACGCATTAAAATTATTGTAAAATAGCGAATAATGAAATTTTATCGTGTTTCTATTATTTTATTAAGTAATTATAAATGTGTTTTAAACATAGTAACAGTGGTGTTTTTAAGTAAATAGATAATAATTAAAACTATTTAACATTAGTAAGTGGTTCGTAATACAATTATACTAGAGCAAATTGATAGTAATTTCATTCTGTATAATAATATAGACATTTTGTCTATAACATTATACACATTGCTATAAAATGTATAAGAAATACGTTTAAATATACATCGTGTCTGAATCATCCCCAGACAAGTGCGATGAGGTATTCAAATAAAGCAGAAGTAGCAAACCATTGTGTATATACTGCCATTATTACTTTGGCCCGGTTTATCAACCTTCTCGGTTAAGACGCGTATCATTTCGTCAGATAGTGACTTCTCCTCGATGGCGAGGTGCATCACGTCGTCGATTGTGTGCAATAGAGCGAATTTCGACGATTCCGAGTCCGTCAGCCAGACGCGGTTCCTGCTCTTTGTGACTACATCCGTGTGGCCCATCGTCGTCAGCGTTTGTTTGTCCAAATGGGCAGCTGTGCATTAAATAATATAGAACTCGGTTAATTTTCTACTTTCGCTTGTTTCTTGGTAGTTTTTTTTATTTTCTCTTTCTTAGTTTTTTTTTTTTTTATGTTATCTTTACAACTTCGATTGCAGCGTGATATTTGACTTAATAGAGCTTGGCTACTTCTATTAAACTCTATATTCAATTTTTGATTGCTTTCACTGTTTACCCAACTGCCGGAGGACAGTAATGTTTTTGTGTATCTATGTAGATATGTATAAAAAATTATAAATATACATAAACCTTTTGAAGGATTTCACCATGTGGGGTGTCATTGTTTCAATTGTTAACATACAGTATTGTTCCGGATCTGGGTATTTGTAGGAGTTGACGTCAGGCAGGTTTTGATGACTCCGTGGTGCAGTTGCCAAGGTATTGCCTTCGGTGTCGGGGGTCGTGGGTTCGATTCCAACACGGGACAACTATTTGTGTGACCCACAGATAGCTGTTCCGCATCTGGGTGTTTGTCCGCGTGAAATTTATGTTTGTAAAACGTCCTTACAACACAGGATAATGTAATCCTAAAGTAAGGGCAATGTTTTAAAAAAGAATTAAAAAAATCTTAGCCAATATAGCTAGCATATGATTCACACGTTGTGCCGATCCGATCTAGGCGGTATGTAAATCCCACTACCTCAGGAGAACTCTTCATTTCTGTGCTTAAAGGACTAAGAAGAGTTTTCCTTGTCAACTACGCGTGACTTAATTTCTAAAAAGAGCAGATCAGGAAACTCTTTAATCATTTTAATTTGCAACCGGTTTGTTAGAAATTGACCTTTATAATCTTTTTGGTCTTAGAGGCGACACGAGCGTGCGGCACATAGATTTATTGTGCTAAATAAATTGTGCATCGTTGACAAACGTCTTGATAAACTTACCACTGGGAAGATTGCGGTCCTTAAGGATTCCTTCTAAAACAGGATTGTTGACGATTCTGTTGTACTTGTGAGCGAAGTCATAAAGAGAGGAATATGATACGGACACGTAATCCGTTTCTTTATCACAAGAGCCTTTGAAGTCATCAGTATCCACAGACCACGCTACTACACCACCGAGGTTGTATTCAACAGCTTTTCTGTGATTGAAATAAAATATGCTTGATGATAATTGAGCCTTTCGTTATATTCATGCAATTTATGATGCTGATGAATAATCATATTAAATAATGAACTCAATCGTAACTCGTCTCTTCTTATAATTAATCATATTTATTTTGTTAAGAACTTAATATATGCTTAACTCACTTGACTTTTAGTGCAATAGACCTTGCATTGTCATAAGTTATTACTCGTTCACCTTTACGAAGATATGGAGTAGCGGTCTTTTCATGCCAGTGACGTGACCATTTTGCAGGTTCGTCGCTCAACTCTTTACAGATCTATAAAATAAAGACTAATTGTATATGACTTGCTTAAGATATGTATGTAAATTACTTAAAATATAAGTTATTGTCAGACTCAGGTTTCCCTTCGAGGTATATAAAAATTCCCTATCACTGTGTCCACGAAGGACTCGGAAACGTCTCAACTGATTTTAATATTTTTTTTTTCACTTTTCAGGATTTGTCCATCTTATCTAAATTAACGCAAATTTTTGTCTTAAAATTTTTATAAGGTTTGAAATTTATTATTAAGGTTTGAAAGAGTCTGTAAGTTGCATAATTTTCTTACAAATAGCTGTGAAAGTCAGTGTATTGACACGCTTTCATAACTTTTGTCCCCCCAGTTAGATAATCAATTAATATTATTTATTATTAGGCTTTTTTGATACCTTTCCCAGATGTTACAACTTATTACACATGTTTTAAGATTCACATTATAATTATATTTTTCTGATGTATATTCTTTCTACAAAGTAATTATAAAAAACATTTTGTGTACAGCTGTTATTTTGTTGATCATTTTTATTACTTAATTAAAGTATGTAAGTATTACTCGATTTTCTCCTATTACTTTTCGAATCAAGTAGTGCCTAATTAAATTAAAATAATTAATATAATCTTAAAAACATTTTTCACAGCAATGCGTGGCCAGGTCATCTAGTTACATGACTATGGACGAAGGATATCTACAAATTATTGGTTTTAATTACTTCATTGTATCCCATTAAACCAGCTTCTTTGGTATACGGCCCTTGGAACGTTTCTGTTGTGATACGGGTGACGCCAAATTCAATTTCCGGTGTGGCAGGGTCAGTGAGTATGTATCCATGACCGAAGAATGCTAGACCGAGCACTACTTTACCCGCTGTAACTTCATGCGACAGCAAATACTTGAGACCGTAATCCTGAAAATATACGCAAGATAATACAGGAATAGATTTTAAAATATGACATTTTTATTAAATAGCTCCAAAGGTAATATTTCATTGTAATATTGCATTTACCAAGAATAATATCGTAACACCTAAATAGTTCTTGCTCAAACTTAAGTAGCACTTAGTACATGGACTAATACTCAAAAAATATTTCTTTGGCAGTATAGGTTTATTTCAATGTTAAAGTCGGATATAAAAACGTAAAACTCGGCGAAGCAGCTTGCGTCCGTTTTCTTCTTCACGCTTCATTTATGTTTTATAATTTACGTTTAGTCTGTTAGTTACTTTATGTCGGTGTTTCAAAAGACACGGTTGGTCAACCATAACTTCATAGTTAAATTCAGATATTTAAATTGGATAAAATAACTCAAAGATAAAGAATAGGGAAGCATGACTTACAACATTGACAACATCGTCATCATTGACGCCGTACAGAGGTGCATTGACACCAATGACCCCTTCCCAAGTACCGTGGTAGTCGTAGCTCAGTATATTTATATAGTCCAAGTACTGGTTAAGTTGTGGCAGATCGTACGCTTGGTCTAGAGTGTACTTCGTTGCGCCCAATGCTGCCATTAGGATCAAGGAATGTGGCATGAATGCCTCTTTCAATTCCTTAAAAGACGAATAGTTATGAACGTTACGTATATTTGAGACTGGGACATTGAACATTTGGCGATTATTTAAACTTTGTTATTCTATCACATGCTTCTTTATTACTGTTTAATTATTATACATAGTAAAAGAGACTAACTTGAACACTTGCTTTTAATTCAGTATAAGTCGTGAGTTCAAATCCCAGTGCCGGGGAAATTGTTATTACCATTTTGAGAATGATTGAGACGTGATAGCTGTGTCCGGGCGGTCATTTCAAATTCAATTATTTTAAGTGCTGAACGTAATGAAGTAATAAAACGTGTGGAAACCTGCATAACTATGACATCAAGACGTGTAACAACTTAGTCTGTCCCGTGACCATGAACGCTGGAAAGGGTTCGAAACGTCGAGAATTAAAAATCAAAATTAAACCGCAATAAATACCGTAAACTAATTTCATTTAATAGGCTAAACTTTACTTTTTACGAACCACAGTTGTTTAAATTTTTTTTTCTCTTTTGTGAATGAAAATTTTAATATCCACATTATAGAATAATGCAGAAGCTAGAATAAAAAAGTTGTATAAGTATACGTACCTTTATTAACGAAACAAAATTAGGTCTATCTTGGGGTTGGTCGTCACGTATCACAGGATATTTCCAATGCATGTCCAATCCATCCAATTGATGAAGTCTAAAATGAGGACGCTTTTGAAACATGAATTTGTGAGCGTGGTGGCAAGGTGTATTTATTTATTTATTTAACACTAAGATAGTACACATCGAAACACAATAAAAAACAAGGTTTACAAAAAAGTGATGAATGGTAACTTAATTATAGGTAAACACTACTTTTTAACAGAAAGTTGACACACAAACACTGAAATATTAAAAAACTAAATGTGAAATACAAACGTTATAATAAAATAAACACTAAACTACAAATGCAGTAAAATCACTTATATTACTTTATTACGACTTACCGCAAAAATTCCACAACACTTGTTATGAATTTCGCTCTGTAGGTGGGGTTGGCGGCCATTTTCGAATATTTTGTTGTCCCTTCATTCCAGCCACCAACAGCTAGTATCGCCTTTAGATGCGGATAATTTTTTTTGAGCCCCACTAGGCTCTTATACCCCGCATTACTGTAACCTTTTTCGAGAGCACTGTCTGAAATGTAAGCAAATGTTGGAGGTATTTAAATAAAATGACAAGATAAAACGAAATATTATTTTTAAATATTATGCTTTTACATGTCATAACTAATTTGCCACTTTGTCGCATAAAAAAAAACATATCGTTTACTCCCTTGGGTTGTGGTACAGCTAAAATATTGAATATTGTAACACTGAAAATGGTTCCATAAATTATTCTTGAAGGCCAAAACTGATTTTATGTGTGCTCTTTAAACATAACCTAATGGTTTAGAAATTATTTCCTTTTTTAAAAGACTGTGATGAAACTAAGTGATGTCTGATGATGGTGCATTTTTATTGTCATTACTTAGTGCAACTTTAAAGACAAGCAAAAAAATTTATACTGCAGTAAAAATAGATTTTATCCATATTAACACAACATTCAAAATGCTTTGTTTAGCAATAACTATTATTACATATTTCTATGTATGGTGACTAATTTCTGTTATCGAATTTTGCTACTTAGAAGGAAGGAAACCGTTAACACTTTAATTAGACGAATATGTCTTTTTGTTTTGTAAACGACGATAAAACTTGTTATTGTAGTTTACTATACCAAAACAAAGTACATATCATCATCATTATTATTTCAGAACATAGGCTGAACAAGTACAATTATGTATAAATAATATTATAATGGAGTAGGCCATTATTTTTATTCAACTTATTTTATTTTTAGGGTTCCGTACCAAAAGGGTAAAACGGGACGTTATTAATAAGACTCCGCTGTCTGTCCGTCTGTCACCAGGCTGTATCGCATGAACCGTGATAGTTAGACAGGTGAAATTTTCACAGATTATGTATTTCTGTTCCCGCTATAACAACAAATACTAAAAAACGACTTAACTGTGATAGGGCCACGCAATTCACTGTTGCTTGAAGGGGCAGGTCCGTCCGGGTTAGTACCACGATCTCAGATAAGACCGGCGTAAAGTAGAAATGTTACACTTCTGCTTTTCGTCTGGTGAGTGAGGTAGCCGGGGCCCACTTTATTTAAAGGTGGAAACGCATTTGCAACCCTATGGGTGTTGCAAAACCCCATAGGCGGCGGTTATCACTTAACATCAGGTAACACTTAACCGCTAGCTCGTTAACCATTTTATTACAAAAAAAAATGATATTTTAGTAGGGCTCCTATATAAAAGGCATGATTTTTGTTCGCCGTTTTTATTGGAAATGGTACGGAACCCTTCGGGCACGAGTCCGACTCGCACTTGGTTTTTATTCATAAATGCTCTATTCGCCTGAGTGTGTTTATGAATAAATTGTAAAAGTACATAAGACGTTACTCACCTACACTTTTGATCGTCATCAGGTTTTCGTCCAAACCGGCGAACATGTAGATAATGTGCGTACATAACGACGGATCCATGTCTGTTAGGTCGAATTTTCCACCGCCAGTACGATAGGTAGACCATGAGGCAAGGTAGCACATTACAACCTTACCGTGCGTTGGTCCTGAAAGTGATTTCGTATGTTCGACATTAGTTTGGGGTGACCGAAAATATATCGGCATATATAAAATGGAATACAAAATAATATCAATTTTTCAAGGGCACACTTATTATTGCTCAGTACTCTAAATGTAACGGAATGGGATTAGTAATGCTTGAGTATTGGGACGCACGTCAAGCATTAATTAGATTTCTGTTTTGTTATAATTTATTTTTTAAATTATGAACGAACGTTGATGCTATAAATTCAACTATACTATTGTGTGTGTGTTCATTTGAAATTCACTTAGCTTGAAGCAGTTTTTGTTAACTAAAAAAAATAATCTAAATTAAATTAATCTACGGGCTAGGATTGGGAATCACCATGTCTGGGCACAGCCTAATCTTTGAATTTAGCTTTCCTCACACCGTGACGGGTACAAGAAACAAGCTTTTGTATATATCATACTAATTTTTAATAGCGACTTCGCTAGCACAGTCCTTCTTGAAATAGAAAAGTTATTTTTTAGATGTTAAATTTTGTTTCTTTTTGAAGTTATACTTGTTTTGGATATACTGTAAGATATACTGTAAAATTGGTTACTTTGCAACTATCATCACGGTATAACAACTTTTTGATATTTACCTATAATTTTACTTATTTAAATAAACCATTATCGATTACATTACATTTTATGTCTTTTTAACAGATACCACTGGCACAGGGCGTCAAAAATCTAATTTTTAGTAATTTTTATTTTATTACGCTAATGTGCGTACATAGTTATGTAAAAAAAAGCATGCTTTCTTTTTGGTATGTATAATATATCATTATTTATATCTTATGTAAGTTTTACTATAATAATCAACTTATTCATATCACTACATGGGTTGTGACGATTTGTCAGATACGATAAATCACACTAGAATTGTCTTTAAATTTTCGGTTGTTGTATAAATTAAATCGTTCGCCGTGAACAAATGCGACATAGGTGAGGGAAAACCTGTTTGAGGGGATAGATTAAAACCCAACCATGGGGCGGTAGTAATTAATAAGAACATAGGTATATGAAAAAAAGTACATACAGTCTAACATAGAATCTTCTCCTCTCCCAAAACACAACTCTATTATAATAATAAAAATATTTATTTTTTAGAAAAGAGCTTTATCGCTGAGCGTTAACAACGCCCTGTAGGGTTAACAAAAAATAATATAGTACATCAACACAACATTGCTTAACATCTATTACAATATCAAGTTTTTCTTAAACCAAGTTCGGCAATCCTGGCCAGTATCCGAGCCTGATCCGATATCGGAACAGCCAGGATACTGGTCACAAAGCCAACATTAAAATTCTGAGAGACATTCTGAGATCTTGGTTGCGCACGCATTCCGTCAGTACATGGAGTACATCTTCAAGGACACCGTCATTACAATTCGGCGAACTCACCATTTTCATTAAAAATGCAAACTTTTTCGACGGAATATGTCCAGAATGTAATATAAGTAAAATTTTTAGAATATTTCTATTAAATTTAAATGTCTATCCAAGGTTTTTGGCACACCTGTGGTTGGATAGTTCGATACCAGATTCCTTTTTCGCGCGATCTCTCATCGAAATATCCTGCCAGTCTTATTTACACTTAGATTTAATATATTTAAAATAATCTGAGTAAAGAGGTACAACACTAAATGGTATGCCGTCTGCCACAGCTTCTTTGGCGAGGCCATCAACGTCATCGGTTTCTTTTAATTGAATGTGAGATGGAATCCACTGTAGTAACACCTTAATATTTTGAGATTTTAACTTAGGGATTGATTCGATAATCTTGTAGGCTGTCGGTATACCTTTCCCGTGAGAGGTACAGCTAACCAAATGTTGTAATGAACTTTTTGAATCCGTCAAGATGACAATTTTTTTGAAATTAAGAGAGTAAATATATGACAAAGCTTCTGATATGGCAATTAATTCTATGTGCATGATAGAAATATCGGAATCCGGAATCTACCCTAAGTTTGGTGTAAATTTCTAAGGTCGGGTCTAGGAAGGCTGCACCACTTCCAGTATCGTCCTTAGAACCACCTGTGTATAGTCTGTAAAAACCGTTATATTCTTGTTCAATAAAATGTAAGAGACAGATTTTAACACCTGATAGTTATATGTATTATTGTTTAACGGTGGTAGGGCCACGCAACAGTGTTCGCTGTTGCACGAATTGGCAGGTCCGTCCGGGTTAGTACCACGACCTCACAGAAGGCTGGCGTAAAGTAGAAGTGTTGCACTCCTGCATTTCCTCTGGTGAGTGAGGTAGCCGGGACCCACATTATTAAGAGGTGGCAACGCATCTGCAACCCTACGAGTGTTGCAAATGTCCATGGACAGGCGGTTATCACTTGAACCGCCAGCTCGTTTGCCACTTACTCACATAAAAAAAAATGTATGTTTTGGACGATCGAATTGTATAAAACATTATATTATGAAGATCAATAGTACTAACCCATGTTTCTAATGAAAACATCTCAGGTAAGACACCGACTTGCATGGGCATAGAATAAAAATATTAAAAAAAATAGATAAAACGTGTAAAACTAAACTCAAATACACTTTACATCATTCATATAATTATACCAATTTAGATTGCAAATTTATTTGAGAAATATGCGATAAAATTTTTAATAAATCATTTTCTACATATTAAATAAATCGGATGTAAAATTCATATCCTTAATATGCGCAGCTTTGTGTCATCAGCTACTCCGATATTTAGTTCTTAACTTTGAAGAGTAAAGGACAACAGTCAAGGTATGAATTAATTTTAAATACCAGGTTTAAATTATGCTTTAAAACCGTTATGGATTGTTGGCATAAATTTGGTAATAGTGTTGTCACGTATACCATATGTTTGTTGTATTGTACATATACAGCGTGTCGTTACCATAGCGACAATAAATGAACACACATATAGGGGATAACTTTTTAAAGTTGTATTAAACATTTAAATTCTTTAAACATCAATATTTACAGAGTTATAAAATTTTCCAAAACAAAGAATTTTAGAACACCCTTACCTATAAAAGCGTAACGAAAAGTTCATTTGTAAAGGTCACAAAGCATATGAATGGGTTGAATGAATTTAAAAGAGACAAAACATACTGTTAGAAGGGGAGGCTTGTAATACGACGCTGTGGCGCGAGTTGTATAGGATGTTACAAATTTTGTTTCTTTTTTACTTAATTAGTTTGTTTGAAAAATATTTTTTTTTAATTAAGGATTTTGTTTAACGTTAATATTTTTATATGATTATTGGCAAGTAACGTTAGACGTGTGTTCATTTAATGTCACGATAGTAAAGACACGCTGTATAAGAGGCATGCGCATAAGATTATCGTATATATATTTTAACTATAATATATAATACTATATACTACACTAGCGATCCGCGCCAGCTTCGCATGCGTTTTTTTTAATGCGAAAAGTTGTCAAACGATCAGACGGGTCACCTGGTGTTAAGTGAATACCGCCGCCCATGGACATCTGCTACACCCGAGGGTTGCGGATGCGTTGACAACCTTTTGAAAATTGGGCTCCGGCTACCTCACTCACCAGACGAAACGCAAAAGTATTTGTCATACTTCAACTTTACGCTGGTCTTCTGTGAGGTCGTGGTACTTACCCGGACGGACCTGCCCGTTCGTGCAACAGCCGAGGCTGCTGCGTTGGCCCTACCACCTAAAATTGGGTGCAATGTAGATATTGAATTTCTCGACTTTTCTCTAGTATAAAATGTATGTATTGTACATATAAAATAAAATAATTCCACTTGAATCACTCTATCTATTGCTGAAAACAGCATTAAAATCCGTTGCGTAGTTTAAATGATCTAATCATAAAACATCGGGAGCGATTTTGTTTTACACTATGAGATGAAAATTGACATAGAACTTACCGGTTGTATTACAATTGAAAATACTCGCCGCACAAACGAAGAAAAGCAGAATGTTTTTCATCATTTTATTCATGTAAAGCTATGTATATAATCTGGAACAAATGGAATAAAAACCTGTTATAAGTGCAAATAAAAAATAGGACTTTAATCGATTATTATTAAAGGGTTTCACGCCCGAAGGAAACTATTGAATGAGAAACGATGATTAAGAAGTCAGCCAAGGCTGTGGTAAGGCTACGTGACAGCTTCCACTATTTTGCGAGTAGGCATACTCATTCGGGGAAAAACCACGGCACTACCAAAGATCGGTATGAAGTGGAAACATTATACTCTCCCGTTTCTTCTAGTCAGTGCGTTGACCGAGGCCCTCTCTTTTTAACTTCACAAAGCATCGAAGACCCTACAGCTGTTGCGGTACTCACTTAACCTCAGACGAATTGTTCCTTACCACCCTCTCATATAAGAATTAATAATAAAAATAAACAAGTTGATTTTGTATTAATCTACGGGCATAATAATCCGTTTACATTAATAGTTTACTCTAACTACAGTCCCGTTTAGTTGTTATATACTGCATTTACAATAATTGGTTAAAATGTTTGATCAATATTAATCAAGAATGTAGTAAAATTAGTCAGTCCATTATTTTTTCGCTTGGCTTAATAATGACTTAAATACTTAAATACGTATGAAAAAGTGAAGGTTATATAATATAAAACATCAAACATACCTCAAAGCAGCTATTATCCGAAGAATAAAATCCTATTCTTAATTTACGTATAGCTAAACCAGTTCACAAATATAAAAATAAACTCATACTTAAAAAAAAAAAGGAAAACGAATAAAACGTCTAACGTCGTTCTCCATAGCGAGCTTCAAGAAGACTATTCTATTTTCATTGAGTTGTTTAGAATTTTAGATACTGGCAACGTTATAAATTTGTATAGAAAATTATTGTGATGGTATTACTTTGCCCAGCTGTGGGAAATTTATAGACTGTAATTTTCATATGTTTTACTTCGCTTATAACTAGAGAGCGCCTTTAAGCATAAAATTAAAACTGCAAATAGCCCAATCGTGATAAGTTAATGCTTATTTAAAAACTGTGTACTACGTCAATTTATCGAGTTAATCTCAAGATGCGTTTTGAGCGGTAATTTACGTAAAAAAAATAAGCGGTTTTATTTCGGCTGTACTGTATTTAAATTGGCTCACGTTATTACATGTAAACGAAATGAAAAAATATTTTAATAACTATTATTAAAATACAAAACGGTCATTATCAGGTATTTCACATTTTTTTATGTGTTAACATATCCTGTTCATAGCAAATGTACTATTCACAGCTTCTTTTAACATCACTATTTTACTGTTGTTGATGAGCTAAGGGATTAGGTAATTAATAAGTAGTTAGTAGTATTTTAATAATTGCTATGTTTTCCTCCCGTTTACTTTTTTAATTTTAAATAACCCAAATCATCATAAATAATCCAATCTCAGACTTATTTATGTAACATAATATGTAATTGATCTTGTCAGAAACAGACTTTTAAATGAGATTACTATAACTAATCTTTAAAATTTGGGAACCGTTTATTTTATCCTATCTTATTAATGTATATATGTGATGTCATACATGTGACCCACCCCGGCTTAGCACGGGTACAATGTATTATACATATAAACCTTCCTCTTGAATCCACAATAGATAGAGTTATCTAGTAAAAATAACCGCAGCAAGATCCGTTGCGTAGTCTTAATGCTCTAAGCGTACATAGGGACAGACAGCGGGACGACTTTGTTTTATACTATGTAGTGATTTACGTAGTAGAACGGATGCCACAAAACAAGTTTGGGTTGTTCTTTATGATCAAAATATGAAGTATTAATGTCATTGATGTTTTAATATTAATGACTTATTTACGCATTGGTGGGCTTAATATTCATCTTCGAATTTTTTTTTATTATTTCGAAAATATGCATGTTTCCTCACGATGTTCACCGTCACCGCTGAGCACGTGATAAGTCAGCACTTAAAATCAACAATTTAATTGTTGCCGGCACCGGAGATCGAACGCATCTTGCTCGAATATATTAAATTAGAAGCGAGCGCCCGAACAATGAGTTATCACGGTATCTTCAGTAACCAAGTATTATTAGTTAAAGTGACCAGTCTCTCAAATAATGTCTCTTTAATTTATTATTCATATATCTATTCAAGCGGGAAAGTTTAAACATATCTGTCACTGATTACCAAAAAAATTTAATTGCATTTTCACCGTTGGCTCCAACATGATGTTTTTATGTAAAAAGTTGCCAAGTGATTGGTTGGTTCTCCTGATGTTAAGTGATTACCACCATCCATGGAGATCTACAACACCTTAAGGATTGCATGCGTCGCCAACCATTAAAGAAGTAGGTCTCGTTTACCTCACCCATACAGACTCGAAAGTACAATACTTCCATTTCACGGTCTTTTGTGAGGCCGTGGTAATTCCCCGGACGAGCCGGCACAACGTCCAGCCGCTACAGAACTCTACGATATTTATGTAATATAAATTGCATACCACCTAAAATCCAGACAAAAGGGTTTATTAGGCATTTCGAAAAGCGTCATTAAGAGTAAAAACCAGTGGAAGTGTTGCTTACATACCAATACAAAAATCGCAACATAAATATCAGAACGTTTTAGTATTATTTTTATAAATATTTTAGTTTATTTTTATTTTAACCTATAGATGTTCAAGAAAAAAAAATAACATTCATTTATATTTACTACGCACATCTATTATTCTCTGAACTGTTATCGACATGTTCCTATTATAAATTGTGGTTAATGGAGGAAGGGCTTGTTAAGAGAATAATTAATTTGGTTTAAGGAAAATAATATATTTGTATTGATAATTACATCCGAACTTTGTTTTCGACTAATATTTGTTATTGCAGTTTAGAACATAACATCCACAGTAACGAGATAGTTATACTGAAATGATAATACTGGTTAAAGGTTATGACTGTTGTTTTAAATTGAAGCTATTGATTGATATGATTCGATAATAACGATGTACAAACAAGATGTGCATAAATAAGTTATTAAATATTGATTAAATAAATGCCGATAATACCCGGTGTGTATGTATGTCTGCACATTTGTATCTTGTCGAAATAAAACAGTTATTTTAGCGGGTAAAAATATTTAGTCACTAATCGACCATAAAATGTCCATTTCCAATACTATCAGAAAATACAATATTAACTGTTATGATGCAAAATTGTAACAATTAATAACATTCACATTTAGAACATTAGTGTCTTAAGGCACTCTCATTTTATCTGTCGAAATAGGTTACAAGTAATGTAAAAAAGTCACTAATAACATAAATTTAAATTTACTACGCATCTGAACTATCGTACCATTTTATTTCTCTAGTTACTAGACAGTTTTGTCTTGGGTTGCATACGTTACTATTATGATACAATTAATAATAATTTATCACATCTTTGATACATATCAAATATCCTTTGGGCTTAATGCCAAATTTAAAACAATATTAAATGAAACAAAAGTAACAGACAACTGTGAAAAGGCTATTGGTAGACACAGTTGTAGGTTTTCCCGTAGTCGGTTTTTCGTTCATCATGTCCATCATATCGATCATGATAACCTTTTCTTCCAACGCCAGAGTTATCGATTCGTCGATAGCTCGCAACAGTGGATAATTTGGTTTCGAGTCGGTCGTCCATAGATGGTTCTTGTGGGCGACCTCTGATGATGTGCTGAGAGCTCCGAGCTTTTGTGCTGCGCAAACGAAAAGAGTAATTTAATTACATGCATAACAATGTTTTAGTGTATTATAGCAAAACAGAAGAGCCGTGATAGCTCAGTATCCGGGCGCTCGCCTTTAGTTCAATATACTCGAGCAACCTGAGTTCGATCCCCGGTGCCGGCACCAATGAAGTTTTTAACTTTAAGTGCTGACGTATCACGTGCTCCGCGGTGAAGGAAAACATCGTGAGGAAACCTGCATATTTTCGAAATAATAACAAAAAACAAATATTTTTTCGAAGATATGCGACGTCCGCCAATACGCAGTGGGGCCGCGTGGTGGACTATGCCCTGATACCCTCTCTATAGAGGAGGCCTTTGCCCAGCAGTGGGACATATATTAGCAAAACAGTTTGTATAAAAGCTAGGTCAATATCTTAGCAACTACACTTCCTAGTCATCCCATAAACGAGCGTTGTAAGGTTAAAATATTTATACTTCTGTATTTCACCCAGTGAGTGAGGTAATCATAGAAGTTAGTGGTTAGAAACATGCCTACATGATCTTTGACGGTACGAGTATAGAAAGGCAGCGGCACTCGCTTATTATCAGATAACAGCTTTCATAGTTGCCAAATATTGGTAACTATGAAAGCTGTTATAATCACACATGACTGCATTCAGTCATGAGTTAAGCAGAGCTAATTAATTGAAAAAATATTCGCTGAAACAAAATAAACGTACCGTCGGGAAGATTGAGATCCTTTAACAGCCGCTGCAAGATTGGATTTCTAGTGATCCGATTAAACTTCTCCACGAAACTGTGCAGGGCAGAAAACGATATGGAGACGTAGTCGGGTTCCCTGTCACACAAACCGCCGAAGTCGTCTGAATCCGTCGACCACACCATCACGCCCGCGAGGTTGTACTCCATCGCTTTTCTGTGAAAAATAAACATGGCGATCATAGAGAATTTACACCTCAAAGCTTCAAAAATTTCAGTTCATTAATTGAGAAAGTGACTAATGGACTATTGCAGTAATCATCGACAACAGGTTTCTGATATCAGAAAGGCAGCTTAATCTTGCGCTTTACATTTTCTAGCAAAAGCTCATCTTAAAAATTATCAAACGTATTTTGCTTTTCACTATTGGAGAAACTTGATGTTTGTTTGCAGTGATATTTATCTATGATCGCTCTAAGGCCCTAGTATCTTTCTTTCTACTGCTCTTATCCTAACTAGGTTGTGTCGACACAGCATGTTATTCACGTTATTAATGGGATTGGTTGGGTTTTTACGACCAGCTGGTGGCTTGATATCAATTCTTCCTGACAAACACCCAGAGCAGGAACAATTATTCGTGGGTCACACAAATACTTGTCTCGAACCCAATAGCCACGCACTGAAGCCAATGGCTTAGCTACTGCGCCACCGAATCTTATATAGGTAAGTACAAACTTAGAAGCCTGAGGTGTTATATAGTAAATCTGCAAAAGCAGAACATGCAAGCTTACTTCACTTTCACGGCTAAAGAACGAGGATTGTCATATGTTATGACACGGTCTCCGTTACGAAGATAGGGCGTTGAAGACTGCTCGTGCCAGTATCGAGTCCATTTATCATCGTTCTGCGTCAGCTCCATGCAGATCTGATAATTTTTATAGTTAGTATGATAACTGTGTTAAAGTTCCCGACGTTTCGAATAAATCCAGCTACTACAGACATACCAGTTTAAAAAGAATGTAAAATCAATATTCGAATTTCATCGTTATTCTCAAAATTAAGGAAGTGGTATAAATTTTAAGACTTTTTTTTAATAAAAAAAATACTAATCCAAAAATAAATGCGACTTGAGCAAGAAAGGGGAAGGTTTTATTAAGTCATACTATTATTGTTTTATATTACCTCGTTGTAAGCCATAAATCCATTTTCGTTTGTGTAAGGACCCGAAAATCCTTCGCTCTTTGTTGATGTACGCCCAAACTCTATGTCTTCTACATCAGGGTTTTCAAGTATGTATGTCCGTCCGTAAAATGGTAGGCCGAGGACCAACTTGTTAGCACTAATTCCACGTGACAGCAAGTATTTAATAGTATATTCCTGAGAGGGAAATGTGAATAGTCATGATTGTGTGAAAGGGGTTGGGTAGTATTTTACAGAATTAAATAACAATTAAAAATTATTATTTAATTCTGTTAAAAATTAATTATTTCCCATCTATTTACTTTTGCTAATATTTTATTACTTCATAGAGTAAAAATTATTCTATTATTTTTTTTAATTCTTGGGTGTTGCAATTGTAAATCAATTCCCAGGACTGTTATAAGAACAGAAATGGATAAAGTTTTCAACTTCCAGCGAAAACAGCAGTATTTGAACGGAAAGTACATGTTTCGTATTTAAAACGAGTAATAGGGAGTTTATTTCGCCAGTTCTACCTAGGTCAGCGTCGTTTCTTTTCCGAACTAGTGCAGTGGTAGAGTTTTGCCAATCAATAAGTGTGCAGTGCTTAAATAAAGATATTTGAATTTGAATTAACTACTATCAAGAAAATTGTTTTTCATTATATTTTTCATTATTTGTAATATTTTTAAAAACCTCAAACGGTTGTTTTTACCTACTACAATGTGAATGTATCAGTTCTTCAGAATGTTTAAGGTCTTATGTGATGAGATAAATATGAAACTATTTACCACACTGAAAACATCGTCCTTATTCAGGCCGGCGAGGGGTGCGTTCACACCGACCACCTTATCCCACGTGCCGTGGTAATCGTAACCGAGAATGTGCACGAAGTCCACGTATTTATTCAACTCGGGCAGGTCGTAAGCAATGTCGATTGAAAACTTTAGGGCGACCACGGAGGCTGAGAGAATATATCCATTGGGCTTGAATGCTTCTGTTAACTCCTAGTGAATAAAAAAAACTGTAGTATAGTAGTCTATACGCTAGTAGGGCCACGCAGCAGCCTCAGCTGTTGCACGAATTGGCAGGCTCGTCCGGGTAAGTACCACGACCTCACAGAAGACCGGCGTAAAGTGGAAGCATAATACTTTCGCGTTTCGTCTGGTGAGTGAGGTAGCCGGAGCCCAATTTCCAAAAAGGTTGACAACGCATCTGCAAACCCTCGGGTGTAGCAGATATCCATGGGTGGCGGTATTCACTTAACATACAATATTCACATAACAAAAGATTGATAAACTGGCACCAGACAATAATTCCTGTGCAAAAAGTTTTCTAAATACGACTCACAACTCACAATATGAACAGATACTTTTGTATCCCACAACATAGCCAGGAACTCCCGTAGCCAATGTTCACATAACCCTTTTTCATTTACTAACCCTTTTTTCTATTCGTGAAAAGTAAAAGTATTTAGTATGGCGTCTCCTAGATTCATATTTTGTAATTTGAAATTTTTAACTATATATATTACACCTTAAATTGGATTAAAATTTGTAGATAATACTGTCGCAAAATTGTGGGCATCTGCCAGGATTAGAACCCGCACTTTCTGGACTACGCGTCCAGACGCTCAAGCCACTAAGCTAGGCGACATCTTGACCTTGCGAAAGTCCCTAAGTGATATTACTTTGTTTTACAAAAATTTTAGTAACATCTTAGCAACTAGCGCTAAAAAATTAAAAAGATATATTAAATCGATATAAAAATTTTGGGTTGAAATGTTGGTAGTTTTTTTAGGTTTTACCAATGGAAAATCATAATAGCTTATATATGTTTGTATACTTACTTTCATTAGTGAAATGAAATTAGCCTTGTCTTGTGGTTTACCATCTCTTAAGCTAGGATACTTCCAATGCATGTCTATTCCATCAAATTGGTATTTTCTGCAAAAAAAATAACAACCGAATTAATAGACGGATACGGGCAATTCGTAATTGAGCATGAATTAAAATAACAGGTTTGCGTTGTATTGGTTAGACCGTCATATCTCACGCTTATTATTAATTATAATATCTAAAATTAAGAAAACTTTGTTTTATACATATTATATTGACACTAACAATGTTTATATTCCTAATTGGATAGACAAATTTTACTGAAAACGAGGAATTATGAATGATAAAAAACATTGTATATGTTTTTCATTACGTGTTACTTTTTTTAAAAGAAATACTAACTCAAGAAACTCGAGCACACTTTGAATGAATTGCGCCCTAGTTGTGGGTGTAGCCGCCATGTTCGAAAACTTTAAGGAGCCTTCATTCCAGCCACCGATTGCCACAGTGACTTTTAGATGGGGGTTTCCATTTTTTATAGCAGCAAGCCCCTTGTATCCGGCGTTCTCGAATTTTCCATCAGCATCGAGTCCAGGATCTGAAATTTATGTATAGTTCTACATTTTCGATTTAACAATTTATTATATCGGTATTGATTCCAATAAAAATATATGGAGAAATATTTTTATTGGAATCAATATCAAGTTTTCATCATTGTTTATTATTATTATGTAAGAAGGTTGCAAGCGATTAGGCGTTTCACCTGATGTTAAGTGATAATTGTCACCCATTGACATTTGCAACACCCTCACCAACACCCAATTGAGCTCCGGCTACCTCACTGACAAGATAACTAGACGAAAGGCAGCAGTATAACACTTCCACATAATGCCGGTCTTCTGTGAGATCATGGTACTTACCCGGACAGACCTGCCCATTAGTGATACAGTGACGACTGATTCGTGGCCCTAGCATAGTATTTACAAAATGTACACTGTAAAGTAAATTCTTACCGAGGTCCTTAACGCCCATAGTATTCTCGTCTAAGCCAGCGAATGAGTACACCATGTGTGTGCATAGAGAGGGATCCATATCTGTTACTTTAAATTTGGCCCAATCCTCTCGGTAAATGGACCACGTAGCGAGGTAGCATACTACAACTTTGCCGTGTTTTGGTCCTGCAACGATTATAAAAAAAATATATCTAAATAGCTAAAGAAGAAGCTGAAGACCGGAACGAGTTTGACGTGAATGAAGGATGTTTTATATATTTCCTATGACAATGTATAGATGTTACTTTCATTATATAATTTATAAGCCCAAAATTAAATAATTATTAAAATAATATATTTGAGGACACATACGAGTATACACAATGTCGATAGTAGGATTCGAAACCACATGCGTTGGAGGAGATCTTTCCACTATCCACCAGGCTATTCGGATCGTCACTTTACTTCAATATCTGTGATTGCGTCACCAAACATACGACTATGTACAAACATTTTCCGTATAGTTATGGATTCCGTTTTTCTGGTATGGCTTGACGTCACGAATCCTACTATGGCTCAATTGTTATGGTTTGATCAATTTAAAAGATTTTTGTTTAAAGTCTAAAGGAATATTTTAATTTCTAGTATCGTTTTTCTTTATAAGGTCTTCGCGCAAAATATACTAAAAGAACATAACCGGTTTAGTGTACAGGTTACCATTGTGTCCTTATAATATTGAGGATCTGATTGTTTGTTAGAAATTTCGAAATCGTGTTGTAGAGATTGATACAAATAGAAAATTAGAAAACACTGGCCGTGAATGTCTTAAAATTTTTGAATAATATTTTATTAATATTATTATAAAATACTTGGAAAAACGGTTATAAATATGTACACATTTCAATAAAAATATTAGTTATTTATTTTATATAAAGACGGTGTATGTTTCAGCGGAATAAAAGAATATTTTTTTTTAATTAAGTGACGCTCTATAGTCAGTTTATTGTATAGAGCAACTAAAAAAATTAATATAAATAAAACATCACATACAAAACTTACCTGTTTGTGTTTGTCCATTTAAAACGTATGTCATTGATGCAATTATAAAATATATGGCAAATATTTTTACGCCCATAGTGGAGTTTCAAAAAGATCTGAAAGCCAATTATTTTTCTTTATGATTAATATTAAAACTACCTAAGTCTTAAAAAATATTCCATTCCTAAAGCTTCGATATAAGGATGTCAGTCACCTTAGTACGCCTGCAAATATTGATGCAGCAAAATGGTCAAATTAGGATTTTAATGTTAAGTGAGATAATTTTCATTATTCTTTTCATCTTTATTTTACAATTATTAGTCAGATTTGTGAATTAGTGCGATGAAGTGTCAGGATGTGTTTATATATTTTATATCACCATAAGCATAATGTATTCTTTTGACATATAAAACCAGTTTTGATTTAGTTTCATTTTTGTCTCTTTTTACAAAATCACGTTTTATGTTTTGAAATAAAGTAACACATTTGAAATGTTAGTAATTTATTCATTATGATTGAAACAAATTCAATCAATAGTCTTTTCAAAGTCTCTACAAAAGTTAAGAAATTGCGGAACATGAATTCTAGTTTTTATATGTTTCTCTCGCAGTATTTGCCAGTATTAAATAGATTTTAAAGTTATTTGCTGGACTATGTAAATACTTAGTATGCTGTAAGGTTCCGTCGAATGTTATCGGACTTTACTTGTAAAAAGCTTTATTTATTATTAATACAGGTCACATAATATGTAGGTTGTATAACTGCATAAGCAATATAACCCTCATGATAATATGTAATCCAAGTCCGTCAAACTATAGTAGAAAATATCAACAACAATTTCAAAGGTCCCTCGCCTTGATGATCAGATTTGAACATCGGGTTCAGGATCAAAGACGCGCTTTATTTAGAGGCGATTGTCCGGGCATTCTAGGAAACACATCTCAAACACTCAAACAGACTAGATACAGGCATAAATAATGCAAGCAAGGAAAATAAAAAAAAAACTATAAACGGACGATGTTCACTCTGATCACTCAACATACTTGTTTTGCAAGTATTAAATTGATAATTTCCTATACATTCATATAATAAATAATATATCATTTGAGACGTTTGTATTTTTAGTTGGTGGTACAAAAATATCTCGGCCATACCTTCAGCTCCCTAAGCCTTTATCACTGGTTCCAAACTATAATTAATCACAATCCCACACTTTGAAAAACTCAAACAAGTTCGGAACGTCGGTGTTTGTCGCGGTAACCCCGACGACTGAAGCTTCGCAGAGTGTGCATTTAAGAGTGATACACATGACGTATTTTCGTCACATGGCTCTACGATTATTTTTTAAAAGCGTTGGGTGATACCGTATGATTCAGCTTTCGGCTTAACTGTCGTTGTTATGTTTAGGTTAAAAACCCATGCGATAATAAATTTTAGTCAAAAGTTTTGAACTAGTTATTCAGCTATAGTTAGGGACTAGAGAATAAACTAAAACGCTTATAGATATTCCATCATTATCACAAATATTGTAATTTCATTTACTTGACACTTGACTTTTATTGAAAGCCTCTCTGTAACGTTTTAGAGCGTTTAATGCTCCAGACATAATTACAATAAAAACAAAACAATTTCGATCTCTGATGATCCTATTCAGGAAGGCTTTGTCGGAAATTTCGATTGACGGTGAGCATTGGTAAGTGATGACCCCCTAACAAAAAATACGTTAATACTCTTTCTCTCCCTAGTTTTGTTTTTGTTAAAACACTAACGAAATAAAATAATAAGATATTTAGTATACGCCTTTAAGGTTTTGAAGCCTTCAAAGGTGAATTTTATTTTAAAAATTTTGGTCTCCGATCCATGATACACATATGTATAAGTATGAAATGGCGACAAATGGGCATTGTTTGTCACGGTTACCTATACCAAAATTGTTTCTTTTAAACATTCTTATTTCAATTAAGAATTAACTAATATAAAGTTTTCTTGAAAATACTAATAATAATAAGTTTCTTAAACATAAATTTTAAAAACATATTTATTATTACACAACAAATATTAGTTACAGTTCAATAAATTATATAGACTGGCTTAGCAATTATATACCTTATCTTGATTGTTCATCACTTATCGTTCATCGTATTATATCCTGTTCGATGGGACTCGGTTCTTCCCAGTGAAGGGGCTTCGTTAATGCTGCCGATACAATAAGGTAATGACAGTCTATATTTTCGGACATTGTTTTGCTGTCAAGTTAAAGCGGAGAGTACAAAGACCTTCAGTAATATCACAGTAATAACTCATTGTTGTTAAATCATGTAAACTTCATTCGACGTACATTTTACATGAAATTGATTTAATAGCACTAAGCTACTGATTTTTGTCACCTCAATGGAGAGAACGGAAGTGAACAATCTTGCACTAAAATGAATATAAAAATGCGATCAATTTGCATTCTTGTAGTAGTAGTTCCAGGGTAAGTAATAAAAGTATCGGTATTATTTATAAACAAGTTCGTTTTGGGATTTCAAACATCTAGATTTTTCAAGTTTATCAAGACAAGTTCACTAGATAAAGGTATACTGGAGCCATTCAAAAATATTTGCCACTAATAATTCAACATTCAAGAGGGATGATGTGAAAAACAAATTATATGACGCAATAACTTAAAAATACGTTAATCATTGGAAGAAATACTGCGACCACACAATACGAGAAGAAAATGAAATGTGGAATTTTGCGACTTCATAGAACTCGCATTGCAAAATTCATAGTAAATACAAACGTTGATTCTACTCATTCTGATTAAGTTTTATTAATATTTTTGTGGATTGTTATTATTGTGAATTATTATTGAATATTAATGACTGACTTATTTTAATTTAAGATAATCAAGTTGACTTTTTTAAACTTAATCTTTAGAAATATAAGTATGTTGATTTTTTACTCCATTGTGAATCCACATTTATCCTACAATTGCACTGATGTCTCATTATTCTCGTAACGCGAATGGGCTATAGTAGGAAACGGCTACCAACACACAAAGGAGAATGAATTTTATTTAAAATGGTAATAACCCTGGATTCATTCATCGACGTTAAATACATTATTTTCCTCTTCTATTTATAGTGATCTAAACCGTTACGTTACACAGTTACTCTTATCGCTACTTCAACAATAGATAGTATATAAAACTAGTCTTCTTTAGGTTAGTACGCATACGCGCTTACTTAAATTTTTTTGGCAAATGATATAATTATGGCACGGAAAATTTTATTGTGCTAATTTGTGGTAAAAATAAATAGTAAGTAAAATTGGAGTTTAAAGTGACATGACAGTGTGGTGCGCTATGATTGCACACCGGTCTGTCAGTAATGAGGCCGAAGAATGTGTTCAATCTAACCACAATGACTACGAAGGTACGATGACGTGTACTGCTAATCTATACAAATCTATTGAAACATGTACAATAAAGTTGGCGATTCATAATTGGATTGATTTGTCGGGATACAATTTGTTTGATACGGGAAAATAGGAATTGGGCTGGCGGTTCACATGTGGGATTTCAGATGTATTGCAAATTTAAGCAGGCTCTAGTTATCTTACTCATAACATGAAAAGCAAATTATAACTTCCATTTCAGGAAGATCTTTGAAATATAAATTAAAGAAGAGCTCCAAGAAGAAAAAAAAAATAAAATTCAATTGTAAAAACTGAAAAAAAAAAAATGTTATTTAACATTTCTGTCAGAACATTTATTTCCAACAGAAATTTATCTTGAAGAAGGATTATAAAGGGTGAACTTAATAGATTTTGAAATTTTCTCTCAGTTAAGCCGGGGTATGGAGATAAATTGTGGAAGGTGCAATAATAACATTCAAGTATTTATCTAAATAATATATAAACACATTTAAATAGATAACAAGTACATAAATACGTTCATACATACTATTTATAAACATAGTCACACATATACCTATATAATTATATAAACGTTTGTAGCATGACGATAAAATTTAACATTTACTAAGTTTTGGTCAATATTATTAATTTTTATCATGTAATAATAAAAACCGGCCAAGTGCGAGTCGGACTCGTGCATGAAGGGTTCCGTACCATTATCTATAAAAACGGAAATAAAATGATCTCTGCTGTATGGGAGCCCCACTCAAATAGTTTACCATGTTTTTTATTATTAATTTGTTGTTATAGCGGCAACAGAAATATATCATTTGTGAAAATTTCAACTGTCTAACTGTGACGGTTCATTAGACACCGCCTGGAGAGGCGGACTCTAATGATAGATATCTCTGTTATAGATCTACAGATAGACAGACAGACAGCGGAGACTTAGTAATACGGTCGCGATTTATCCGGGTACGGAACCCTAAAAATGCATCTGGATTTTCGAATATTCTGCCGTTGAATATTTGGGATTTGAATCTAAACTACAGAGACTAGCAATAAAAATAAAAAGTAATCATAAATGCCTATAGCAAATGAGACATCTCTCATTTCAAAGTGTTCACTGTAAAATGTTACTTGAATAGTGGTTCATGCTGTACATTATGCTCCATAAATAGCCCACTAGATGGCGCCAATCATTGATTTTCGCTCCCTGAGATCATCAGCCACTAAGCTTACCTAGTAAAGCGTTTGTGTACGTTACTTGGATGACACAGGTTCAATTTCCGTAGCATTACAAAAGCTAAAAAGAAAAATAACTGTAGATGCAGGCTTGTTCAATTTTCCACCAATACATGACAAAGGCGCCAGACGAGCTATATTTATTGTACAGTAAAAACAAAGGTAAGACAAAGGCATTTCGTCATCTTGTGCACTTTTGAATAAGTACTTTTTTACATAAAATTTTTAACAATATCAGGTTTAAAAGTAATATTGTCAAGGAAGAAAAACCCATTACAGTTGCCTGTTTAGTTTAGTTGTTTAGTTTAGTGTAGTTACTGAAGAAAATTGTGAAGTAAAAAAAAAGTTTGGTTTTAAATTTCCAATTACAGCTCTTTTACTAACTTTTTTTAAAGCCGACTATAATAAAAATATTATTATAGTCGGCTTTAAAAAAAGTTTTCATTGCATATAAATGTACTTTAAGGTGTTAAAGATGACAGTCGACGATCGAAAAAGCGTATTGAAACAAGAGCGCTTGGAAATGAATTACTTGCAATTAGATATAGGTGTTGTATATTTTTAAGGGAATTCACATTAGTAAAATCTACAAAGAAGTTCAGAAATTTCCCATTTTCAAATCACTAATTACGTGTACGTTTTACTGGTGCTGGGAATGTCATTAGAGCTATGTATAATTGACCTAAAACGTGTATCGGAAAATCTACACAGCAAATTAGATATTTTTTCTTACAACCTGTATCCTTATAGTTATGTAGGTGTACATACATACCTAAATCCGAAAACACAATACGTTACAAAGATCTATTGTTGAACTCCTTTAAAATTATGGCTAGCAAAGTTTTAAATTTACAGAATACTAAATTTAATTTGATATAGGAAAATTTAGTAAATTTATTTATTGTTGAGACCATAATTAGCACATGAGAAGGTCAAAAAATTCTTTTTGATTAAAACTTTAAGAGAATACAAAATATGTAATAAAGCTGCAAAATCCAAACTGCGAAAAAAAAAACAAAAGCTTTCGCAGTTTTATATAATCTTCAAAATCTAATAAAAGACATCAACGCGTTATCATTAAGGAGCGTGGTAACCAGGAAGCGATTGTATCTGTCAAATTCACTTGTGAATAAAATATATTAAAACACGTTATTTCTATATCGAAGGAAAGCTGATAATTCAAAAACATAATAATGACTTAAAAAATCAAAGTCTGTTAACTATTTCTAAGAAGTAGAGTGTAAATTTATCTAAACAAAGATAACTATTTAAAACGCCATCTATAAAACTCTTACAATTCTATCTGAGCGTACAACAAGTGAAAGGCGTTAAGTTTAGTGTAGAGATTCACGCGACTCTATCATGGTCATGGTAACCATACGGTAGATGGCTTCCGTATGGATGTCATGTTATCATGTAAAGTGAAAATATTGCACCTTCGGATTTCCTGTAACCACGATTAGTTATAAGTTATGAAAAATTAATTATAAATTGTGATAAATGGTCATACCAGTTTTGCATTTTTCTGTTACAATGATTATAAGAGTTAAACTTAAAAATAATCTGTATAAAGAATTTGTATTTCTTTATAATTTATTATTAATACTATTGATAATAAATATCAATAGTATTTATTATAATTTCTTATCAACGGTATAGATAATAAAATAATTAATAAATTATAAATATATTATCTTCTATGATAATCTCCCAGAAGATTCTGTTATTTCAGGAATGGCGAACAGCATAAACTAGAAGTATTTGTACTTGTGTGTTTCTTTTGGTAGCTAAAGCTCTTTTAAGGTTTGACAGAGTAAATGCAACTCTATGGTTTTGTGGATGTTCATAGATTGCGATAATAAAGTTCTATCAGGTAAACCTTTCTTTGGTTATTGTTTCTCATAAAAAATATGAACTTTATTGTATATTCACATGAATTTATGATTTCAGGTTTTAGTTTTTAAATACATTTTTTTTGGCGGTGTGGATTCTTTTTAGTCAATTAGAAGTTCATAAAGAATCCGTATTTATGTGCCCGGTACAGTTTCTGAAATGAAAATGGCGCATTTTATTATTACACTAATAAAAAATGTTTCCTTAGCTTCTTGAAGTAAAAAAGTAGAGTAAGCTAAAATTTTTTATGACTGTTTATTAATTTTGATAACTGAAGACAATGAGAACAGGTTTGTTTGTTACCCAATCATGCGTCAACAACTAACCGGATATGAAATAAGATTTGGCACAGTTTATATCCTCAATTACCATTTAGCCCACTTTCTACGATTGTATTCGTCACTGATTAAAATATACATAGATTTGAGTTATTTTTTTCACTTGGTAACATATTTTTGTCTCCATTTAAGATTCAAATGTTTTGTTCGAGATGGTTTTAATTAAAATTAATGAATGCTTTAGATAAAAATATTCTCATATTCCACATTAATTACACAGTAACAAGTGTAAAAAAAATAAATTGTATTTAATATTCACCGTAGCATATAATTTTAAATATTAATAATTAATAATAATAATGAGCCTTTTGTAGACACTGTTGCCGCCCTTAACTGGCTACGCTTCGGTGACCTGTTTGGGGAAACCGAAGGTTTTGTCTGTGAGATACAGGATCAGGTTATTAAGACGAACAACTATCGGAGATACATCCTAAGGGATGACACCGTCAACATCTATCGAGCTTGTCGCCATCCCGGGGTGTCGCTTCGGCATGTTATCTCCGGTTGTTCCATGCTTTCTAACTCTGAGTATCTGCATAGACACAACCTAGTAGCCAGAATCCTACACCAGGAGCTCGCTCTGAAATACGGTCTCGCAGATCGGAAATTGCCGTACTACAAGTACTCTCCGGAGGCCGTGCTCGAAAATGACCGCGCCAGGCTCTATTGGGACCGGCCCATCATCACGGACAGGACGATTGTCGCGAACAAACCTGATATCGTGTTGATGGACCGGGCACAGTCGCGGGTATTTTTGGTCGACATTACCATTCCATATGACGAGAACCTCGTGAAAGCCGAAACAGATAAGAAGACGAAGTATCTGGACCTGACTCACGAGGTGACCGACATGTGGGGTGGTGTGCCGACCGAAATTATCCCAATAGTCGTATCTGCGAATGGGTTGATACCAGTCAGCCTCTCCGGACATCTGAGGCGACTGGGACTCCGGGACGGAACGCTCCAAGCTCTAATGCAGAAAGCGGTGCTCCTCGATACCGCCCGCATCGTCCGCCGGTTTCTCTCCCTTTCACCCTAACCCTCGGCCGTTTGGTCTCCCCTGCCGAGGGCTTCCGTCTGGTTGGGTCCTATTTATATATGTATTACATACAATATTTATATCTACATGTTTATTTTTATTCATATTTATTTTATATATGCAATATATATCTATATGTTTATTTTTTATCTATAAACCCAACCAGACGAGAAAACAAAGAAATATCCCCAAAAATAATAATAAAAACTATAATGTATATATATAAAAAAGTAGAATTAAAGTTAAGAAACAACGTTTTCAAAGCTAATGACAATTGTCACAGAGCTGAGTTGTATGATTTACCCATTTATTATTTTGACGAGACCTCATTGATAAGACTGATCGTCACAGTCGAGGAACACTATCACAGTCAAGCGATTCTAGGCGTTACATAAACGTAGAGCGTCACGAGCAGATAATTTTATGTAACCCCCAGTCGCGCGCCGGATCGGGCCCGGTGAGCACCCAGTTCGCGTCTGTACCCCGTCCGCCACGCTCGCCTCTAGTCACGCCGAAGAACGCACCATGAAAATTTACGTTTGAATCGCTCGAGATATTTTTTTTTCCGGAAAAAAAAATGTTCTAAAAATTCTTCGGCGTGGACAAAAAAATAATCGTATTACTTCTGGCGTGTTGTATAAAATGAAAGTGAAACCAACAGAGCAGTGACCGACGCAACATGTTGAGCGAAAATAGATGGAAAGTGATACTGCTCGTTGCTGCGTCCGTCGCGGCCGTAGAGTCGAGCCGCGCGCTGAGCATAGTCTACGAGAAACCGAGGAGCGCCCCTATGTTCGTGCCGAAGCATTTTTACAGGCGGACGAAACAGTCCAGGGTGTTGTTTTTAGACGAGAGCGAAAACCACCAGCCGCTCGGCCGTGGCGAGATAGATTTGACCACAGACAAGTACACATCGAGAATAAAGTTCGACGACGCGACAGATTACGAGTTCACATCGCCCGAGGACGGCGCGGGTTCGGCAAAAGCATCGGACGACGCTCCCTCGGGAAACGAGAGGTACTACGAGCCTTTGCCGCGGTTCCGTCCGCCTTCCCAATTGTACCCGAAGTACTACCAGGGGCGGTTCGGACGGCCCTACGCGCCCAGCTACGGCTTCGACCCGTACACATTCGCGCCCGCGGTGCGCAACGGACTCTACGCGCCGAACAGCGGCGGCGGCTGGAAGGCGCGCAGCCCCCGCGTCGTGTTCCCGTACGCGTCGGACAATGCGAACTCCGTGCAGACGAACTCGCACGCGGGCCCTAGTTTCAACGACAACGTCGTGTTCCGCGAACAGAGTTTCGCGACGAACGACATCGGCGCAGAGGAGCCCGGCTTGCAGGACGTCGGGACGGGCGGTGCGGACGCCTTCGCGGAGAGAGGTGAGCGTTGTGCAATTGAGATAGGAACTTAACGGAGGGCGGTGAATCGACAACCGATGCGGTTGATTCTACTTATGTTAACTAACAAATTGAAGCTATGATCCAATTAACAGTGCAATCAATCTACCCCACAGAAAGTAACTTAATATACTAATTGTAACAACACGTATTTAAGTATAGTGTAAGTGTATTCTTATGCTAATAACTTGATGATAGGACGGTAACAATTTAATGATAAAATATTTAATGATGAATGTACTCAATTTTTTCATAAACTGTCAAAAGTAAGTAGAAAGAAATAAAGAACTGCTAGAATTATTTTATATAAAAGAAATATTGAAAGTGCAATAGTGATTTATTAGTGATTACACATAAACGTTTTGTACTCGTGTTATGGATTTCTTTAGTAGATAATATCTTTAGTTTGCTTTTCCGTGATAGTAGGTAACTAATTGAAGCGGGAGCATTAAATAATTTTCGTAAATAGTTTACAACGCTAAATCATAAAAATATTGATTATATTGAATATAATAATAGATATAATTTAAAGAGAATGAGCAAGAAGCGAAACTGTTTTATTTAGTAACCAGGTTAAAATAAGCTTAATTATTAAATGTCTTAAAAAGCTAAAAAAACTATATCTAATTAAAATTTTTAGAAAATAGCAAGAAATCTTTTTCAGCGTTGAGGGAATTGAACTCACGTCCTCCAGATCAAACCCACGTCTTCCGGATCGATTCCCGCAGTGGCTAAAAAATTTTCGTTCTCTTTTCTACAAGCTTAATGTTTTATTTCAAGTGCAGAGGTTAACACTAGAAAAAATTAAAGCAAATAATATGATATTTAACCATACTATTTGTAACGAATAACTTATAAAAACAGAACACGATGAATCGTAAATAGAATTAAATTCTAGCACACAGCCGAAACAATTAGTTTTAAAATTTCAATAAATGTAAATATAGTTTATGATCAGGTTTAACGACAAAGTACATACGATATCCTGAGTACACAAAAAATTGTAAATAAACGGCCGCGTACGGTACCGTTGCTAAGACAATAGCAATTGCCACGCGTCGGTTGTTCCCTTCATTTGAATACACGCTACATTTCATCACGCAACGGTTAAAATCGAGAGTGCATAAAACGCACAAGCGATTATATTCTCAAAGCCAATCGTAATAAGACTTATTTACGTGACAAGTGTGATGGTCAAAAACGACGTTCTTCGCTATTAAATTCTTTTCCCGATTTAAAGTAGACAGCGCGAATTGCTAACTTTACAATATTGGACAATTAGTTCACGATGTTGCCTTTTTCTTAAGGAATATCAATCAAAGAAGTCGTTTTTATTCTTGACTGCTGTTTAGCCAATTTTTTCTCATCCTTGATTAATTTATAACTTATTTAAAGACATAAAGTTTAAGACATTGACTTTCAGTCTAAAGTTACTTGATGGACCCTAGTGTTGTGTTACAATGAGTTCCGTTTTTTTTTTTTGGATTTTCATGGGAAAAACTACTACTTAGGAGCAAATTGAACGGAGCCCCTAATTACACATTTTGAAAAAAGTTCACAGTGCTACGATTTTTGTATGACTCATATTAATATAATATAATATAATCGGTGCTAACATAACGTTCGAAACATATATGTCTTTGAGATCCATTCTTAATGTTATACGAATGCAACATTCCTTAAACATAAAACAAAGACTATATGTCCTTACTAATATTATAAAGTCAAAAGATTTATAATATTAGTAAGGATATATAAATGGATGGATTTTTAATAATCTTTCACGCAAATACTACTGAATGGATTTTAATGAAACTTTACAATAATATAGCTCATATATCAGAATAACACGTAGGCTATAATTTATATACATATTTTATGTATTTCTGTCTGAATGTTACGCCCTAACCCTATTCTACGCAGACGTAGTCGCGGGCAGCAGCTAGTATAACATATTGTGGAAAAAAGCGCGTGCGTACGTTGTGTGCACTAGGAAGGTCCACCAACCATAACCTTGACCCAGCTCTTGAAGTTCAAGTATTGCACGCGGACCTCGATGGCTCCGTGGCGCGGTTACCAAGGTATTGGCTTCGGCGCCGATATCGTGGGTTCGATTACGAGACGAGTATTTGTGTTAACGACAGATAATTGTTTCGGATTTGGAACACTGGGTAGTGTTATTCTACAGTAAGGCAATGTTTTCGAAGCGAAAACTACAATAGATCTTTATAGGCCGCAGTGGTAGTTGGTATTTACTACGCCACCCCTTCCAAAAAAATTAAAATAAGATTGTATTCTTTTAATTATTATAATTTATTTACATTTAAATTATTTTTAATTGTATTTTAATATAACATTTATTAATAAGTGTAAATGATATTTTAAAATTATATTATGTAATTATATAAATATATAAATACACGTTAAAACGTATTTGCGCATGGGATGGATGAAGAAAGGCTGACAAAAAAACACAATTTTTGTGGCATAATGTATCGAACCACCTCAAGAAGCAGGACAATCAATTAGACTCTTATACATTTAAGGGGGTGAAATACAAAAGGGCCATTAGTCAATAAGCACAGATGAACAGATTTACCGATGTGGTGAGTCGAAGAGGGTGTATTAAATCCCTGAAGAGTAGAAAGCCGTACCCTCTGACTGCTTCTCAGCATGACAGGCATGAGCGGTTCCTTTCTTTCTCATGCATTTATCCTGCCTAGGTGGGTCAAGACAACACGTGAATCATGCTATCAATGGTATTGGCTCTATTTGTACCGACCTGTCTGATTCAACAATTCTTGGGTAACCCAGATCCGGAACTGTCTGTTGGTCACATAAATACTTAATAAAACAAGCACAGGCGTTTATGTCATGGAATTGTTTGATATAAATAAACTCAATCAGTAGGCCATGTAAATGGGTTAAATATGAGAAGAACCTTCAGCGAAACTTAGCATGATCGCACACTTTCTAGACCCGCTTTCGAGAGTCTCTTGCGCAACGTAACAAAGATGCTTTCCTTGTCAAAATGGCGAACTGATGTAATGGTTGACGTAATGGCCGCCAAGTTAGCCTCCTTTGTCGGTTCAATAGATACCAAAATGGAAATCAGTCTCCATATTTTCGACACATTTATTAAAATCAATTTCACCTATTTAACCCTTTAAGGGGATGAATTCAAAATTAATGTTTACTCATCCAAATTATATAAATATCTGCATAAGCTGCAGGATAAAATTGGCTTACTCCGTTCGTTGCTTGTCTATGTGTTAGTGTTAAAGTTATAATCAATACATGTGTAATTAAAGGATCTTTAGGTAATTTTTACATTTTTCTTTGGCGTATATTTATATATAGAAACACCATAAAAATATAATAAAAAAAAATAAAAAAACATTTTTCGTACCAAAATAACTGTATAGAATTTAAATTATAGAGAGACAGAGACTGTAAAAAGACATCAACGAGTTAAATGGAAAAATCTTCGTATATAAAAATATTCGGTTTCTTCGTATACTATTCATATCCATTAAAACTTACACTTAATTTAGTGCTAGCAAAAGAGTCAAAATATATTTGTGAAGCGTAATAATATAAAAATTCAGCAAAAAAATAAAATAATAATAAAATAAAATAAACAATTATTGATTAATTAGAGATAATAATTTAGTGTTTGTAAGAGCTGTTTTGTGCTGTGTGCTTGTGTCAATAGATGTTCTCAACTCCAAAAATTCGGAGAGCTCCGCATTCTGGTTTTCTGTGGAGCCATTTCGATAAGGGAAAAACGGAAATGTGTTCTCAACAATAATAATAAAATAACATAACTAAAACTACAACATTACTGTATAATATCTGACATGGAAATATCGTGTTCCCAGTAAACAATAAGAAAATAATAGTTATAATACTGATTTTTGCGGAGTATGGCGTAAAAGATTCTGAATAGCAGAACATTTGTGGCCAAGCAGTTCGAACGTTGCACTCCAAATAACGCAAGTTAATGAATTGCAGGTTTTTTTTCGGATTCTGACTTTAGTGTTAAGAATTGCGCGATAGTTACGTACATTACGTTTACACTCCGTATTACCAAATGTAAAAAGAAAAACCACTACTAGTGTCAGCTCAATCGCTATTGGGCTTTTAAATAATGGTTTTTTTTTAATAATTGGAAAGCCACAGGTCAGTCCAATGAAGGAAGTATCGTGATCGCTTTTATTATCTTTCCAATACAAAGCTTGCCACTTCATACAAACAAAATAAACTTGTGGCAATAGCATGAATCTTAATTTTGCCCTTGTAATTATAATAGAAGATAGAAAGTGTTCGTAAAAGCTATAAAGAAATTATTACTGATTGAAAATTTAGAGAACATTACTTAATGATACGTGCATTCGGTACGCTATGCAACAATGGAAAAAAAGTAAGTTAGTAAATAAGATTGAATATTATTATCGGATGCCTTTGTTGAAGCTCCAAGATAATTCGCTTGATAACTTGCCGAACTGCACGGTTGTATTTTAATTGGTGGCATTTCCCATTTAGAAAGGATTAAAATGTTATAATAAATATTATTCTCACCTAAACAAACAACACTTTCGTGATGCTAACAATGCCACGTTCCCAGGTTTTATCTGCTTTTTGTCAAAGCGATCAGTGAAACCCGACTTTTCACCGGTCTCGTCCGTTCTCACGATCTTGAGATAGAAAATATGAGTTCAATGTTTTTTTTTGTTACTTTATGCTTGTTTGGGTTTTCCTCTTAAGCATATGGGCGTCGTGGTAATGGTTAAACGTCTAATACTCTCCTACCAAGTGTAATACTAACATTTTCAACGTTTCTTATTCGTAATAGCTTTTTGTTACGATTATAATATCAAATAACTCGGAAAGAGGTACGAAATTTGAGTCTGGAACGCTTGACGATTATCGGAATCTTATCATAAGTTTCAGTAGTTTTTACCAGTAGTCATTACGCAATGAAATTTTCTTGTACTGTCAATTGTATAAG